GTGACTTAGATGAGCTAATTGTATTTTTCCAACATACAATAATGTCTGTGCTTGTGTACATATGCACAAAATCTAATATCTTTCAAACGTATGTATTCATCCGTGTGTGCATGTGTACTAAGTCGCTCTAGTCTGTCCGACTCTTTGAGACCCTATGGACTATAACCTGCCAGGCGCCTCTGTCCATGGGATTCCCCAGGCAAGAATACTGGAGTGGGTTGCCATGCCCTCCTCCAGGGGATCTTCCTGACCCAGGGATCCAACTAGTGTCTCCTGTGTCTCCTGCATTGCAGGCAGAGTCGTTACTGCTGAGCCGCCAGGGAAGCCTGTGTTCGTCCGTATTCTAACTCAGGTCGCTTTGCGTGACACACCAGTGGAGCTCTGCACAAAGCAAAGCTACGGTTCTGCAGACCTGGGGCTGGCCGCACTGAATGCACAGCTCAGGAAATACCCTGGTGAGCAGGCCTCAGTGAGGAAACCAAACCGGAGTCATGCTCTTTTTTTGATACTGTAACTCTAGATCCAGCCTGGCCAAGCCTAGACTGGATATTTCCTGACATGTGTGTGTTCAAGGAGGGGAGCTTTTGGCTTATGAGTTACAACCCAGAACTGGACCTCCTGATCTGTAAACTGGGGTCCAAAATCCCTAGTGATCAGACTACGTTTTTGGTAAGGCAGCAGAAACTGACTCTACACTAAACAACAAATGACATGCATTGAACAACTGTGGAGGCTGGGAGCTCAAAAAATGGAAGACGTAAGAACAGGCTGGGAAAGCGGGCAGCAGCCATGGGACCTCATAGGGTCAGGTTGCAGGACCCACGCTGAAAGCCCCCCTCGGGACCCAAGTGAGGCGTAGATAGTGATCCAGGTGTTCTGGGTGAATACACATCTCTGCATCACCAGCTGAACCTCAAAATCTGGCTCTGAGTGTCTGATGGGCTGCATCAACAGAGCAGAGGGATGGGGAAAGCTAACCCCCGTGGTTCTTCTGTGTAATACACCTCCCTCCGACCGTGGCCGCAATGACCGGTGCATCCCCCGGGGATGTGCTGCTGCTGCTGCTGTCTAGCTGCTCAGTCCTGTCCGACTCTTTCTGACCCCGTGGGCTGTAGCCCACCAGGCTCCTCTGTCCATGGGATTTCCCAGGCAAGAATACAGGAGTGGGTTGCCATTTCCTACTCCACCCAAGGGATGTGCACGGTGCTAATTGGAAGAAGGCTGCTGATGCTGGACCGCTGAAAGAGGAACAATCCTTATGCTGACCTTTCCAAGGTCAATTCCAATTATTTGAAATTAATTTGTACAGAGTGCCTGATAGACTGCCTGGTACCTGATTAAATAATTCCATGGCCTGGGCAGATATATAAAAACCTTTAAGGAGAGAGAGAAAGAGGAACTTTAACTTTTAGGATTCTTACTGCCAGCTTGCAGTCTGGGGCCCAGCCAGCTTTAAGAATTATCTGGGAGTTTGCTAATGGGACAGACCCCTGGAACTACCCAAAGATCTTAGTCCAGAGAACTCAGAGAGATCCAAAGATCTGCATTTTCCCCAAGTTCCCCATTCAGGGAGTCTCTGACCTGGTGGCCTAGTCTGAGTTTATTTTTTCTTGCCATGGAGAAAGTTTGCTAGAACAAGTTTTATGAAAATGGGGCCTGCTAGGCCAAATAAAACTTCACAGGGAGTGTTAGGAAACCCTGAATTACAAAACACAGAATGTAGCAAATGTTTAAGGGAATTAACTCGCTAACGCAGGCGTCTTTTCCCGCAGCGTCTTTTCCCACAGGCGTCTTCTCCCGTGAGGGTAGCTGCTGTGCTGGATGCAAATCATTTTCAGTTTAACAGGCCTCTTAAAGGCCTCAACTAATTAAACAAGTTGCTATATTGGCTCAAATCATTGTGCTTATTCAATGACAGTTCTAGCTACTGTGTGCTGAGGGCTCACTTGGTACTCTGTGCTCTGGGTTTTACACACCTGATTACATTTAATTCCCAAGAAACCCCATCAGATGCAATATTATGTTTCTATTTCACAGCTAAGAAAACTGAGTCTCAGTCAGATCTTACCCAAGTCAAGATCAGGATTCAAATCCAAGTCTGTGCGACCCTAGAGTCTATTAACCTCCGTGCTGTGTTTGACAGGACCATCAGGACATTTTAAAATTCATTGTTCCAAGTGGGATGCTGATCCTCTCATCTACCATCCTTGGTATACATCAGATTATCGAGGGTCTTCTAGGACTTTTCCCATATAGGTGAAAGTGAAAGTGAAAGTTAGTCACTCGTGTGTGTGTGTCCGACTCTTTGCGACATCATGGACTGTAGCCCACCAGGCTCCTCTGTACATGGAGTTCTCCAGGCAAGAATACCAGAGTGGGTAGCTGTTTCCTTCTCCAGGGGATCTTCCCAACCCAGGGATTGAACCCAGGTCTTGCACATTGCAGGCAGATTCTTTACCGACTTAGCCACCAGGGAAATCAATCTCAATTGCTAGAAGCAGACTTCAGTCATATGGTTAAGGGAACACCTAAGGCCGCCTTGGCAGGAGAAAATGTCATGAAACAACAATATACTCCCGTGTGCCCTGCTGACTGGAGCCAAAGTGAACGCTTTCTTGGTAGAGAGAAGTGGGGTGGGATGTAGCAGAATTATAAACGTTCACATCCTTGACCTAGCAAGTCCACTTCCAGCAATTTATCCTAGAGGCATGTGTGTGTATATGCTCAGTCACTTCAGGCATGTCCAATTCTTTGAGACCCCAGGCTCCTCTGTCCATGGGGTTATTCTGGCAAGAATACTGGAGTTGGGTTGCCAGTTCCTCCTCCAAGGGATCTTCTGGACCCAGGGTTCGAACCCGCATCTCCTGCAGCTCCTGCATTGGCAGGTTGATTCTTTGCCACTGAGCCACCTGGGAAAGTCTACTTCTAGTAATTTATCCTGCAGGCATAATCATGGATAAGAGAAGATTCATTTCTGAGTTGTTCATAATAGTGAAATTTGGAACCAAACTAAATATTCAACTGTAGGGAGTTACTGAAATAAATTCTAGTACCTGCATATACCAGGACATGCGATAGCCGTTTAAAAAGCTGCTCCAAATTGACATTAAACCATATGAAAGTTGTTCACAATATGTTGCATACATTTTTTTTTAAAGGGTTATAAAGAATTGTCCAATAAAGGACAGAAATGGTATGGACCTAACAGAAGCAGAAAATATTAAGAAGAGGTGGGAAGAATACACAGAACTATATAGAAAAGATCTTCACGACCCAGATAATCACTATGGGTGTGATCACTCACCTAGAACCAGACATCCTGGAATGTGAAGTCAAGTGGGCCTTAAGAAGAGTCACTATGAACAAAGCTAGTGGAGGTGATGGAATTCCAGTTGAGCTATTTCAAATTCTAAAAGATGATGCTGTGAAAGTGCTGCACTCAATATGCCAGCAAATTTGGAAAACTCAGCAGTGGCCACAGGACTGGAAAAGATCAGTTTTCATTCCAATCCTAAAGAAAGGCAATGACAAAGAATGCTCAAACTACCTACCGCACAATTGCACTCATCTCACATGCTAGTAAAGTAATGCTCAAAATTCTCCAAGCCAGGCTTCAACAATATGTAAACTGTGAACTTCCAGATGTTCAAGCTGGATTTAGAAAAGGCAGAGGAACCAGAGATCAAATTGCCAACATCCTTTGGATAATAGGAAAAAAAGCAAGAAAGTTCCAGAAAAACATCTATTTCTGCTTTATTGACTATGCCAAAGCTTTTGACTGTGTGGATCACAACAAACTGTGGAAAATTCTTCAAGAGATGGGAATATCAGACCACCTGACTTGCCTCTTGAGAAACCTGTATGCAGGTCAGGAAGCAACAGTTAGAACTGGACATGGAACAGCAGACTGGTTCTAAATCGGGAAAGAGTACACCAAGGCTGTATATTGTCACCCTACTTAGTTAACTTATATGCAGAGTACATCATGAGAAACGCTGGGCTAGAAGAAGCACAAACTGGAATCCAGATTGCTGGGAGAATTATCAATAACCTCAGATATGCAGATGCCACCACCCTTATGGCAGAAAGCAAAGAAGAACTAAAGAGCCTCTTTGTGAAAGTGAAAGAGGAGAGTGAAAAAGTTGGCTTAAAACTCAACATTCAGAAAACTACCATCATGGCATCTGGTCCCATCACTCCATGGCAAATAGATGAGGAAACAGTGGAAACAGTAACAGACTTTATCTTTTTGGGCTCCAAAATCACTGCAGATGGTAACTTCAGCCATGATTTTAAAAGATGCTTGCTCCATGGAAGAAAGGCTATGACCAACCTAGACAGCATATTAAAAAGCAGAGACATTACTTTACCAACAAGGGTCCGTCTAGTCAAAGCTGTGGTTTTTCCAGTAGTCATGTGTGGATGTCAGAGTTGGACTGTAAAGAAAGCTGAGCACCGAAGAATTGATGCTTTTGAACCATGGTGTTGGAGAAGACTCTTGAGAGTCCCTTGGACTGCAGGGAGATCCAACCATATGAAACACGAGGGTAATAGACAACTTGAAGGCATTTGGGTGTTGCAAGGCTATCTCTCAGATCTCTGCCAACTGACCAACTCAGCACTCCAGATAGTGCCACGGCTTCACTACATTCTAAACAGAGGTGCCTCAGAGTCTTCCAGAGATACGAAAATCCCCAAGTGCTGTTTCAGTTACGTCCTGAACAGTCTGATCTCCCTACTTGCAATTAGAGGGTGCTCTTGGCTCATGTGTTTCTGGCCCTGTGGCCCTGGCTGAATCTACAGATCCCCCAGGTGTGCTTTTCAGGAGAAACCAAAAAGAAAGCTGAAGAGGAACCAGGTCTGGAAGGATTCCCGCATCCTGGACAGTGAGAAAGGGAAATGAACATGTGTTCTGGTTTCCCAATGTCCTGCCAGTCAGGCTGTAGCATAGCCTTCATCTGGGCCAGTCAGGCCTCATAAAGCCCCTCTGTGCCAGCAAGCCTGTCTCTCCTGAGACACTGTGTTGACCTGCCCTCAAGGAGACCCTCATCCAGTGGAAGAGGTGAGTGGTCAGATGGCCCCTCCTAGTTGGTGGTACATGAAGAGTGGGTGCAGCGCCCCCTGGAAGCACCGAGGAGGGACCTTCACCTGTATTTGGAGGCTCAGGGAACCTTTCCCAAGGAGGCAATACTTAGCGTTGGTATTCTCTTAGCATTGAATTGGAGAGCAGGTCCTTCACGCTTTCTCATAGAAGGGACAAGGTAATGTTCTCAATCTCTATTGAATCATCTGAAGTGATTCTGAAGTCACTTTCTGGGTAAGTGGAGGCCTGGGGCTCTAGAACCCTTGTCAGATAATCAGACTAGAGCTAAGAAAAGTCAGGAAGGGAGGTAAGTCTGGGGATGTGGGGTATGACAACCAGACTCAAAGCCAGGCTTCGAGTCTGACCCGGTCTCTGATAAGGGGGGCTGGACCAAGAGGGAGAGTAGCAGCCAATGCGGCTATGGACGGGGGCAGGGAGCAGGCGGGGAGATGGGAGCGCAGGGAGCCGCAGACGGCGAGCGCGGTGCAGCGCGGAGAACGGCCACCAGGGGGAGCCCGAGGTAGCCATTGCTACTGCAATTTGCTCGCTTGTGGTTGTGGCTTTCTTCTTTCTTTTCTTTTCTTTTTTTTTAACTGGAAGAAAATCACTTTACAATGTAGCGGTGGTTTCTGCCATACAACAACGTGAATCAGTCATATTTTATATATAGATATATATCTATATATCTATATATATCTCCACCCTCCCTCTTGAGCCTCCCCCTCCCCCCACCCCACCCCTCTAGGCCATCACAGAGCAGCACCGGGCTGGGCTCCCTGTGTCAAAGAGCAGCTTCCCAGTAGCTTTCCGTTTTACGTATGTTAGTTACTCAGTCATGCCCAGCTCTTTGTGACCGCATGGACTGTGGCCCACCAGGCTCTCTGTCCATGGAATTCTCCAAGCAAGAATACAGAGTGGGTAGCCATTCCCTTCTCCAGGGGATCTTCCTGACCTAGGGATCGAACCTGGGTCCTCTGTGTTGCAGGCAGATTCTTACCACCTGAACCACTAGGGAAACCCATTTTACACATAATAGTGTATATATACAAGATAGCTGTATATGTGTCAATGATACATTCTCAATTCGCCCCACACTCGTCTTCTCCCGCTGTGCCCACAAATCCAATGCTCATTGCAACACTATTTACGATAGCTGTGATTATGGTTTTAAGGTTCTTCAGCCTTTGGTGTCAGGAGGAGTAAAACCCTTTACAAGACCCAACCAGGTATGGAGAGAAGAGAGGGACCAGCATAGAGGAAGTGCTGTTTGACATTAAACCTAACAAGGCTGGCAAGGAAGAACAAAGACGCCTTCGCATGGTTAGTGGTTAAAGAGAGACACACCACCCTGTGAATTTCCCCCAGGTCAGCCATGCACCCCGCTCTCCTGACAGCTTGCCTCGATCCATGGCCCCTCCTGAGCTGTTTCCAGTGATATGTTTCCTTTGCTTCACATCTCTGGTGTCCATCAGCGTGCGGGAGCCTTCCCCACCACCCCGCCAGGACATCCTGTCCTGTGCTATCTCTCAAACAGGCTTGTGGTCCACGACCACTGTGTTGACAATGACCTCTGCGTTCACTGTTTACTTCTTGCCCGTTGGTTTCTCTCCCACTTGTTTGTCCAGGGCTGGAGCTTGTCTTCATCCCCACACCTGGTGCTTAGAACAGCGGCTGGCGTGTGGTAGGGCTTGATTTTTAAAAAGCACTGAATGAGTAAAAAGTGATTGTGTCTAAGGGGAGGAAAACAAGCTCTAGAATCAGATGCAGACAAACCTTAGGACTGAGCCCAACTCCACCACTTACCCATGGGGTGAACTTTGAGTCTTGACTGGTAAGATGGGTTATGCAAAAATTGTGGATTTGCAAAGTGCCTAGTATATAATAGAATAAAGGTTCCAAAAGTTGGCTTTTAAATTTTATTAGTATGATAAAGAATAAAGAGGAGAATGTTGCTGTTTTACCAGAGGGGGGAATGAAACAAAGGTTCAGAATTGCCAGCAGAAGATCTGGAGAATTACCGCCTGCGTAGGTCAGGAAGAGGGGCAGGAAGGGGCAGGGTGGAGGCACCAGGTCTGAGGACCTGTCTGCCATCACGCAGAGGGAAGGGAAGGCTCAGTTGTCGGGACTTGGCCCTCGAGGGCAGATGGAATGAGGTTTCCCCAGGTGATCTGTGGGCAGGTACCAGAGCAAACGCGGGACCTTCATTGTCGCTCAGCAGTGTGTATGTTTGAGGGGAGAATGCTCAGTTCAGCTCAGTATCTCCACCACCCCCGCCCCTCACCCCCGGCCATGGAACAGTGTCTTGGCATGTTACTGGGCAAATTGCCCTGGCCGACAAACCAGGTTAGGCATCATGGGTTCCTGTTTTGTCCCTTTCATGTGATGCAGATGACAATCTGGATATTGCAAAAGGTCAGGCTCTCAGAAAAAGGGAAAGTTCAGCTGAACAAAAGAATGCATGCTGGAGAAAATGGAAAAAGGGAGTCAAGACACAGTTGGTTTGAGAGAATCATGACAACGAAGCACAGAGAGAAAGATGCTTACTGAGAGTTCCAAGAATAAGGGAAAGAATTACAGGGGGCAGGGGAGAGTGGGGAGAGGACAGGACCAGGGTCGGGGCTCCAGGACCCTCAATGCTCTGTGGCTCCAGGACCCTCAGTGCTCTGTGGCTCCAGTACCTGTAATGCTCTGTGACTCCAATACCTGTAATGCTCTGTGGCTCCAGTACCCTCAGTGCTCTGTGGCTCCAGTACCCTCAGTGCTCTGTGGCTCCAGTACCTGTAATGCTCTGTGGCTCCAGTACCCTCAGTGCTCTGTGGCTCCAGTACCTGTAATGCTCTGTGGCTCCAGGACCCTCAGTGCTCTGCCCTTAGATGCTCTGTGGCTTTATGCCAGTGCCTTTCCCTCTCTGTGCTTCAGTTTTCTCAATGATCATCTGAGCTCTTCCTTCTCTCAAAAATTCATGCATGGATTCATTCAATCAATAATATTCCCCAAGCACTACATTTTTGCTGCACAGTGCTTAGGTACTGGGCATTCGGTAATGAGCAAAACTGACAAAAAAATCTCCATCCTTTTGTTTTCAGCCCACAGTAAACCAAATCAGGAAAATATGTTGTATATTATTAATAGATCAGGATAAGTGTTACAGAGTAAAATGTGTGGGGAAAAGGGGACAAGGAGCCTTTTCTGAAAAGGTGACTCTGAGTCAAGACCTGAGGAGGTGAGGGAGTGAGCCAGGAGGACACTGGGGCAGAGTTCCAGACAGAGCGGACAGTGGTATGAAGGGGGTTCTGAACATGAAAACTTCTCATCTCCACTCCTTGTCATGCCACCAGCTCTCTGCCTCTATGCCTGCTCCCTGCCAGTCCTCTCTCCACACATGGCTGGTTAGTGTCAGTTGCTCGGTCGTGTTTGACTCATTGTGACCCCGTGGACTATAGCCCACCAGGCTCCTCTGTCCTTGGGATTCTCCAGGCAAGAATACCAGAGTGATACAAGAATACTTTCTCCAGGGGATCCTCCCACCCAGGGGNTCAGTTGCTCGGTCGTGTTTGACTCATTGTGACCCCGTGGACTATAGCCCACCAGGCTCCTCTGTCCTTGGGATTCTCCAGGCAAGAATACCAGAGTGATACAAGAATACTTTCTCCAGGGGATCCTCCCACCCAGGGGTCAAACCTGAGTCTCCTACATTGCAGGCGGATTCCTTACCATCTGAACCAGCAGGGAAGCCCTACGTAGGGCTGGGGCGACTCTACAAAATATAAGTCAGAACCCATCACTTTTCCACTCCAAACCCACTGGGAGCCTCTGCCACACTCAGAACAAATACCAAAGTCCTCCCCAGGGTCCATCAGTGTCTCCGGAGTCACGTCCTCTCTCCTGCCTCCCTGGCTCCCTCCTTCCCAGCTTCTCTGCTGGGATGCTGTTTCTGGAACACACCAAGCAGGCTGCAGCCTCACAAGCTTCACTCACAGCTTCTGCTTAGGTGTCCTTCCTGGCTACCTAGGTCTGGCTTCCTGACTTCTTATGGATGCCACCTCCTCAGGAGGACCTCCTTGACTGATCTGTCCAAGGCAGCACTCCTCACCCTCTGTCTCTTCACTCTGCTTCGTTTGTCTTCATAATATTTATTACTCTTTCCCATCATTTTATATATTTATAATATAGCTTATAATCGATCAAGTGTTTACTCTGTGCTGAATGCTGTTCTAAAGATCCAAGAATTAATTTGTACTCCCCTAAACTCATCGAGGATGCTGTTCTTATTAACTACATTTTATAGGTTAATAACTGGAGATTCAGAGAGCTTAAGACATTTGTTTAAGACATTTGTTTAAACTGGTGAGTGTCAGAGACGATTCAAACCCTGGAGCTTCCATTATCGACTACAACCCTCTAGATCAGCACTGCCCCAAAGAGCTTGGTGATGATGGAAACATTCTGTGTCCAGAATGGCAGCCACTGGCTGCGTGTGAGTGCTGTGTGCTTGAAATGCTTGTGGCTGAGGAACTGAAATTTTAATTTTATTTCATTTCACTTTACTTTCAATTTAAACAGCCACATGTGGCTAGTGGCTACCATATTGGACAGTAGAGTCCCAGAGACCCTCATTTGTTCCTTTGTTAATGCTCGTCTCCCGCACACAGAGGGAGTTTCTCTGTGCCTCAGCTTCCTTATCTTCAGTTCAGTTCAGTTGCTCTGTTGTGTCCAACTCTTTGCGACCCCATGGACTGCAGCATGCCAGGCCTCCCTGTCCATCACCATTCCTTATCTTATAGTAAAAGGCAAAAGATTTACACGATCTGAAGAGAAATCAGAGTATATTCTTATCATATAGTGAGGAAAATAGCTTATAGGGCTCTTATGGGATGAAATAAACATATATACATATATGGCTTAGAACATAGCCTGGCACAAAGTAAATATTCAATGACTTAATTATTATCATCACTACTATCTTGTCATTATTTTTATCATTATAAGACCCCATAAAATTAAAGGCTTTGTTTTCTGGTGAATCTCCATTATCTAGAATGTTTTGGCATGTAGTAGGTGCTCAATACATATTTCTTAAGGGAATAAATAAGTGAATTGAATTGAATACAGGACTTGGATAAAAATCAATAGTCACAGACTCAAACTCTTTGGGGAGCTTGATAGGGAAAGCGAATGAGTGAGGGGTGATGGTATAAAAAGGAGGGAGACTGAGAACTGTGGAAACGGAAGGGAGCATGCCCAGGGAAGGTGTTCAAGGTCGTTTCCTGGGAGTGGGGACAGCGCAAGGAGGACTGTGGTCCAAGTAGCACTCCCACAACTGAAATACACCCACAGGTGGTGACTTTGGGGGGCTTCCTGTCTCTATAATGACAAGTCTCTGGCTCCATTTTCCAGAGGTTCAACTCTAGGCATCCTCTGAATGTGAAGCATCTAGGATTCAGAGCTCGGAAAGCCAGCGCCGTAGATGCTGCTGCTGAACTGCGCATGGTCATCCAGGTTCTCACTCAATGCAGATCTCCCTGAGGAGGCAGAGTGGTGCCTCAGAACTTACATGTGCCAAAAAAGAATGAGAGAATGAAATGTGACTGGCTTCAGAAACAGGGACGTCAGTCTGGGAGCCCAGCTGACTTGACAGCAATGACAGGGAAAGGGCATGTTTAGAAGGAAGTCTTTTCTTGGACAGGGTTTCTGTTCCCAACGCAGAGCCTTGAGTCAGATTTCATGAGCTCACCCTGGGCCATTCACTGGTTTTCTTGAAGAGACCAGCAGGTAAAGTGACCCACACCATTGAGACTGTTGTTTCTTGCTCGCCTCCCAGCCATGCACAGGTGTGTTTGTGTGGGCGCTGCGCATGTGGACGTCACACCGGCAGGGGCTTCTCCAACGTCAGCTCACCTCGTTTGCCTTTCACCAAAGCCCTGGATGGTAACATGAATCCTGCCCTAAGAATCAGCACCCTTCATGTGAGTCATAGCTGTGTGAGCTGGGTCACCTCTGGACAGTAATTAGGTTGATGAGTTCTTCCAAGCAAAAGAGTCTATGTCATTCATTGATTCTAAATCAGAAGTGGCTCACTGGAACAGAACTCAGATGTGATTTCTTGGGCCCACGTGTTTGTTTGTTTCTTTTTTTTCTAAAGTTAGTTAATGTATTAGTTTTCTACTGCTGCTGTAATAAGTCACCACAAATGCAGTGGTTCAAAACAACACAAATCATTACCTTACAGTTCTGGAGGGTGAAAGTCTGACATAGGTCTCACTGGGCTAAAGTAGGGGGCTATGTTCCTTTCTGAAGAGTCTAGGAGAGAATCCTTACCTTGCCTTTCCCAGTTGCTAGAGGCCACTCTTATTCCTTGGCTTGTAGATTCCTTCCTCCATTTTCGAAACCAGACATGTTTCATCTCTCTTTTTCCTAGTCACTGATCATGTTTCCCACTGACTCTTCCCTCTTTCACCTCCCTCTTCCACTTCTAAGGACCCTTGTGATTACATTGGGTCCATCCAAGTTTTCAAGATAATCTCAGTATTTAAGGGTGGTTGACTATATTCTGCCTAGCACAGTAGACTGCATTTCCTTTTTTTTGCAACATAAAAATCTTGCTTTCTATATTCTTAAACAAAGATCTAGCAACAATGGACCCCAACCTGGCTCCCATTACAGTATGGCAGCGATGAGCTTAGACGGAGCTGCTTCCAGTTTGCCCTAGTCCTTATAACCTACCTGCCTAATGTCCAGAATAAATTACCATTTCCCCTTGCCTTGGGTTATTGTTTTTCCTACCAAACTTGCTTCTCTCATCTGCATTTTTCTGCTGGCCTCTTCAGCCTTTGAGCCTGCAGCATCTCTTCTTAATTCCTAGGAGATGTCAACTCTACCATTCTTGTTGTCTGTCCATACCAGAAAAATTGCATAGCAGTGTATGCAATTGACCCTACCCCACATGTGACATGGGAAAGGGGAGCTCAGTGTTGTATGCAACTCAGGAATTCACCAGCTCATTGCTGGTCTTTGGGGAAGGAGAAATGAGTCAGATATGCTCACAACAGTGAACAATGCTAACAAGAACCACCATCTCTGGTGTGCCGGGGACTGCACTTTGTGCTTGCTGTTTTATTTCACTGAGTCTTCACAATCACTTCTTCACAATCACTTCATGAGGTTGATGCTATTATTTGGCTTCCCCCACTTCCCTCTGAAAATTGTGGCACAGAGAAGTTAAGTTGCCCAATTTCACACAGCTGGTATGTAACAAAGTTGGGATTCAAAAGTGTTATTTTGCCTCCAGAGTCTGAGTCTTGATTCCTATAAATTCTGCCTTTAGAGTGAAAGAATCGTCTGTGGTTGCAAGGTTTTGAGGGATTAAATTTAGGAAGAAGAGCCACAGCAGAACGATCGTTCTACGGGGACTCCAGAATAGACTTGGATCCCTCTGAGTCCCCAGGTTCACACAGGAAGCCCTGGAAACAGGAACAAAGACTCTCTGTCAGAGGATCCTGCCCTCAGGAGAACTCTGGCCTTGAGGTTGTCTAGGTTGTCCGGGCTGACTAAGTCGTCTGGGAGTACAGGCTGCTGGCAGGAGGGCCTGAAACTCTGCAACAGACAACAAGAACAGCGTAGAGGTTGGGGAGGAAGGAGGGAAGTTTAGTTTGCAAGAACCTGTCACTTCTGTTGGCTTTTCACAATTTAAATTTAGAACTATGGACCTGTGTAACCTCTGTGGTTTAAAGATAAAGCAGACCCTCTAGTTCTCGACATGGGGGTGGAAGGCGATGGGTCTGCTGAGGTCTATCAGACAGCTGGCCACATGCTCTAGCATGCTCCCACCCAAGTTTAATTTGGGGTTTCTTTCTGTGGCAAATAGGAGACTGATTTCTTGCTAAGTGCAAATAGAGTCACATTTGCCAAAACAAATAGAGTGTAGACAATTCTTAATGGGGGCAGATGAGACCTCATAGGGTAAAACTGACCAAAGCGTCCATATAGCCTGGTAAGAACTCTGTGATTCAGGACCTCTGTGTTCCCATTTTCCAGGGACGGCCCTGAGGTTAGCCTGCTGTGCTAGTGTATTATTAATGTGCCCATTCTACTTCCAGAAACTTCCAGCTTGGTCAGTAGCATACCTGATCACGCTCCAGTGAATAAGCATCGACATGGATACATCACCACGTGTAGAACAGACAGCTAGTGGGAAGCTGCTGCGTAACACCAGGGGTGCAGCTCCATGCTTGATGACCGAGAGGACGGCACAGGGCTTGGGGTGGAGAGGAGGTTCAAAAGGAGGGGATACATGTGTACACACAGCCAATTCACGTTGCTGTGCAACAGAAACCAACACAGCATCATAAAGCAGTTATCCTCAAACAATCTCTGTGAATAAATAAGTTTCAGAATAAATACTTGATATCATGTTATAGGCATATCTCATTTTATTGTGCTTTGTAGATATTGCATTTTTTAAATTGAGGGTTTGTGGCAACCCTGTGTTGAGCAAATCTAACGGCACCATCTTCCCAGCAGCATTTGTTCACTTCATGTCTCTGTATCGTATTTTGGGAGTTCTCATATTTCAAAGCTTGATTATGCTTGTCACTGCAGTCTCAGGTTAGCATTTTTAGCAATAAAACATTTTTAAATTAAGGTATGTACATTCTTTCTTTTTAAACATAAGGTTATTGCGCACTTAATAGACTACAGTTTAAATGTAAACATAACCTTTATATGCACCAGGATACCAAAAAAATCATGCAACTTGCTTTATTGTGAAATTTAATTTATTGTGGTGGCCTGAAACCAAACCTGCAATATCTCTGAGGTCTGCCTGCATTTGTCTTTTTTGTTTTGATTCCAAAGAGAAACAGAGAAAATTAATCAGTGACTGAGAGCATCATAGAAAGTTAGAGCTGAAAAGAAAGCTCTAGAAATTTTCTGGAGAAAGGGAACAAACCTGTGACATCTGTATTTATATGCCAGATACAGTTCAGGTATGAGACATGAGCAATTTCATTTGTCACACAATTGCCCAGAGAGATGCTAAGCATTATCAGCTTCTTTTAAAGATGAGGAAACTTCATAAAGGGCTCAAGGTCAGACACCCAGTTGATGGTATGCCTATGATTAGAATCTAAGCCTGGAATTCTCCATCTCTGGAATCCACAATCTTTTCCTTACCCCAGTCTGCCTCTTTTTCTTCCCCTTGGTGTTTTGGGGACAAATGAAAGAGGAAGGGCATTTGCACCTTGGAAGAGTTATGAGTTTGTTGTTTTTGTTGTGCTATGATCTGAATGTTCTTGTCCCCCAAAGCTGGCATGTTGAAACGATAACCCTCAGTGTGCTGGTATTAGGAGGTGGTGCTATTAGGAGAGGCTTAGATCAAAGCCTCTTGCAAATAAGATTAGTGCCCTGATAAAAGAGACCCTAGAGAGTTCCCTCTCCCCTTCTATCACACGAGGACACAGTGACAGTGAGCATGTGTTACGAGCCGGGAAGGGGGCTCTTGTCAGAACACAACCATGCCAGTGCCTTGATCTTGAACTTCCAGGCCCGAGAACTGTGAGAGAACATTTCTGTTGTTTTAAGCCACCCAGTCTGCAGTGTTTGTTTCAGCAGCCTGAACTAAGACAGGTTGCAAGCATAGAACCCAACTTTGTGCTATCTGAGCAACAGAGTAGTTTATTAGAAGGATACAGGGTAACTCATATTATTCAAAAGGATGGTTTAAGAACCAGACTTGAATACAAAGAAGCCAGACAACTCCAGGAGTCTCCACAGCAGAGGAACATAGATTTCTTCAGGGTCTCAGGGTGAAATGAATGAGGGCTGGTCATTCTCTTCCTTACTTTACTTCTCTCCTGGGCCCCCATCCCATCTCCACTCAGCCTGAGCCAACCAAGCCTGTCATCCCAAGTGAGCGTCTCCTTACTTGTAGGGCACAGTCAGGGGATTCAGTGAGCATCAGCCACTAACCTGGCATCAGCATCGCTAAACTTGTTTATTTGTTTGTTTGTTTTTTAATTAGAGAAAAATGTAGGTACACCAAGAATCATTATTTATTTCTTTTTAAAGATCTGATGAAATGAGAGCTTACCATAAAAATAATAAAACTGAGAAAGAAATTAGGTTGTTTCTGTGCCTTGTAACATTTTGAAATAACAAGAGGAATTATGGCTGATAAAATTATACTAACACTTATTATCAGGAAAAGCAACATCAGGACATTTCATGGACAGTGGGAGCATTAACATATGTCAAGGAGCTATATACCTTAAACTATACAGGTATGTCAAATGTATCTCAATAAAACTGGAAGATACAATGAAAAACAAAAAACACCCCCTAAAACATCTTACCTATACCAATACAACCTATGCATGGTTAAACATTTCCTCCCATTTAACAATGTTTCTCATGAAATTCAACATCAAATAATTTTTGATTCAACACTAATAATTTTTGGCATCTCTCTCTTCATAATAGGGAAGAACAAATCCTTTGAGATTTTCAAGTTAATTTGAGATCAAAATTATATTTAGGGTTTGTATTGGAGAAGGCAAAACACCAAAAATTGTCAAAATGACAAAATATTTGAGAACTCAAAGACAAAAGATCCTTTCTTTCATAGCCTGAAGATTATGGTTGGCACAAATTGTTCTAGGGCTTCCCAGGCCACTCAGGAGTTAAGAATCCTCCTGCCAATGAAGGAAATGCAGAAGACACAGATTCCAACCCTGGGTCGAGAAGATCCCCTAGGAAATGGCCACCCACTCCAGTATTCTTGCCTGGGAAATCTCATGGACAGAGAAGCCTGGTGGGCTATAGTTCACAGGGTCGCAAAGAACCAAGTGAGTGAACACGCATGCACACACAAACTCTTCTAGATAAATATTGGTTATTCACCAAGTAAAATTTCCATCTTTGGAAACAACATCTCTCAGTGGAAAGAGTCGTAGCATCAGACAGGTTTGGTTTCAAATCCTTCTAGTTATCTGTGAGGCCTTGGACAAGCATTTGCTCTTTCTTGCAATTTGCAAAATGGGCATTTATGCCCCCATTTTCTATTTACAAAGAGCAGTCAAATAGATCACATGGTATTATAGAAGAAGTTTCTAGAATTTCTTTTCTCCAAACTCTTGAGGTTTCACAGAAGGGTTAGATAGACAAATTACCTCTTTGCTCCAAAACCCTAATGCACTCCTTCTAAGGGATCCGTTGTCTCTAGGAACACAGTCATGGGAAACGCTGACCTTCACCCTTGGGAAGGGGTAAAGGATTGAAGAGGCCAAACAAGGTGCCTCTCCTATTTGGATGGTGCACTCTGGGTCAAAATTCCTGAAGGTCAGATATAAACTGGTGGTCAGGGCACTGATATGGTCAAGGAAGCCGACATCAGGGGGTCCAGAAACAGCATGGTGGCCACAAGCATCAGGACTACACTGAGGCAGGAACATCCAGAGTGAAAGCCAACAGCCAAGAGGCTTGTCAAGACTGGAGAGACAAGTTGTGAGAGAAGAGACAGAAATCTGCCCAGCCCTGAGTTGACACTCTCCTTCCATACTGACTCGCCATGGAAACTCGGGCAAGTGAATTCTGGTCTCTCAGGGTCTATAAATTTGTTCTCTATTTACTCATAGGTCTTTGGTGAGGATGAAATGTGCTGAGAGCTATAACAGATTTGACCCATGCTGGGCTGCTGGGCTTGTTGGCTGCAAATCTCTTCATCTTAGGGGAAGGTGGAGCTTCCCAGGTGGCACTAGTGGTCAAGAACTCCCCTGCCAAAGCAAGAGACGGAAGAGGAGGTTCGATTTCTGGATTGGGAAGATCCCTTGGAGGAGGACATGGCAACCCACTCCAGTATTTTTTCCTGGAGAATCCTTATGGACAGAGGAGCCTGGCAGGCTACAGTCCATAGGGTCATGAAGGGTTGGACACAGCTGAAGTGACTGAGCACGTAGGGGTGGGTATGCTCTTCCAGGGCCCACAGCTCTCCCTGGGAGGGTGGGCTAGAGTGGGCCACAGTCCCTGTTCCTGGGCTTCGGGTAGCACTGCTTTTGCTTTTCTGGCACGCATCTACCCCCCTCCATTGCCTTTCTCCAGCTTACCTGGGGAGGGGGAGGAGGGTCAAGGTTTTTTTCTCCTCTATCAAGCTGAGAAGCCTTCTATTTACTCATAGGTCTTTGGTGAGGATGAAATGTGCTGAGAGCTATAACAGATTTGACCCATGCTGGGCTGCTGGGCTTGTTGGCTGCAAATCACTTCATCTTAGGGGAAGGTGGAGCTTCCCAGGTGGCACTAGTGGTCAAGAACTCCCCTGCCAATGCAAGAGATGGAAGAGTAGGTTCGATTTCTGGATTGGGAAGATCCCTTGGAGGAGGACATGGCAACCCACTCCAGTATTTTTTCCTGGAGAATCCTCAAAGACAGAGGAGCCTGGCAGGCTACAGTCCATAGGGTCATGAAGAGTTGGACACAGCTGAAGTGACTGAGCACGTAGGGGTAGGTATGCTCTTGCAGGGCCCACAGCTCTCCCTGGGAGGGTGGGCTAGAGTGGGCCACAGTCCCTGTTCCTGGGCTTCGGGTAGCACTGCTTTTGCTTTTCTGGCATGCATCTACCCCCCTCCATTGCCTTTCTCCAGCTTGCCTGGGGAGGGGGAGGAGGGTCAAGGTTTTTTCTCCTCTATCAAGCTGAGAAGCCTGCCTTCCCCTCTCTGCCCACAGCCCACCCACCCTTGCGGGCACTCGGGGAGTTTCCCTTCACGGCAGAGCTATCTGGGGATAGGCTGCCCAAAGTGAAATATAGGGCAAATGAGGAAGACAGGCTTGACAGGAAGTCCAAATAAGCACTTCCTCACACCCACCTTCCACATTCTGACGCACCTCAGCCAAAACAGCCGAGAAAGAGACACAGAGAGAGGATTGAAAAACACACAATTTTTGAAAAGAGTGAAATTGTCAGCTCTGAGGAAGTGGAAACTATTGCTCCTCATTACCTCACAAGCACCAACTGGTTCATGCTTTCCTGCCGCACCTCCTGGGATGGGTGGTGACTGTGTCCAGACGGGGGTGGTCGCCAGGACAGAGCGCAGGGCGGCCCGGAGGAGGGCTGCCCTGGGGCTCCAGCCTCCAGGAGCGTGGGGAGCGCGAGGCAGGCCTGCCCCTCCCGGCCCCCGCGCCCCAGGCGGCCCGCCTGCCTAGTGTGCGGCTGCACGGTGCCGGGGCGGCCAGCTCACCGACGGCCAGGGCCCGTCCTGTGCCCGCGTTGGAACCTCCTGTGTGGGTGGAGCCCTCAGTATCCAGAGGGGCTCCACACACAGGGTGCCTCCAGTGCCGGCCTCGGAGAGCAGAGGGGAGAATGGGCCCCTCCCTGGGGGCTGACAGCTACAGCTCTTCTTCCCACTATAGACAAACATGGACAGGCCCCAAGGAAAACTTCCAGGAGCGATTCGCCTTGGCCTCAGGGGACCCATGGAGCCGTAACAGGTGGATGGAGGTGAACAGGAGGTGAAGCTGGGGTGAACCCCTGTGAGGACGTTCTCTCCATGGCCCACATGCCCCGAGGGGCCACCCTCTCTGGGCCACAGGCCTCTTTTCCCCAGCCAATACCCTCTGTCCAAATCACACCCGAATAAGCATGTCCTCCCTTCCACTTTCCAGCTCTGTGGGTCCCTCTCCTAAAAACGTCAATGCGGGCTCTCCATCATGGTCTCTACGCTTCCATTCTCCCTGGTGCCCAAGCGACAGCTCCTATCCCTGCCCACCCCCGCCCCCTGAGGCCGCAACCCACAAGCCTCTTCTAGCAAATTGTGCTTTTCTCACTTCTAAAATTAGCTGTGAAGAAAGGCAGTTATCTCCTCATCTAATTCTTCTGTGGGTTAGTAGGAAAAAGAGCTTCAAGTCTGGCCAGGGCGGGGTGGGGTGGGGGGCACATTAGGAGGTCCTCCCCCAACTCTGGTTGCAGTGTGCACTACTCCATAGCACTTTTTGTCTCTAAGACCTAAAACTCTGACATGTTGCTCCCTGCAAGATTTGCTTTCTTGTCCATAGGCTCTGTTGGATGTACATTTAAGATCCCTACCTCAAGAACCCCCATCCCCATGTACTAATATGAATTGCTGTTATTGTGCACAGACCATTCACCATCACCCTAACCTGGATAAAGAGATTGCAAAGCCTTAGAAGTCCTCCATAACCTTTCAGTTTGAGCAAACCCCCTCATGAGTTCTGTGTTTCCCTCTGGCTGGAGAGAGAGATGGGAGAGGGTGTCCACCCCCCAAGTCACGGCTCTATATCACCTAACCTTACCTGCGCCCTGTTCTCTGCCCTGCTTCGTGCTTGAAGGCAAGCCCACTGTGAGCTGGCCCCAGCCTGCCTTGCCCCGGCATCTGCTCTGCTCTCATAACTGCCCATTTTATAGTGTGGAACTTGGGGCCAGGTCAAGTGAGCTGAACTGCCCCAGGTTACTCTGGTCTTCCTGCTATCCCAAGCCTCTCTTGGGTGCCAGCTAGTCCCGCCCCTGGAACTTCTGGAATTCTCCAGCCAGGGACAGGAGCTATGAAACTCGTGAGTGTTGGGAAATCACCAAGGACTGGGGAAGTGGAAAGGCTCCAGCTGAAGCAACCCACTTCCCCTTGCGCCACCTGCGCTCCTGGTCCAGCTGCCCTTTTTGGGGAATGGGTTTGTGACCCTGCCGGAAGGGGGCATCGAAGACCTGCCTCGGAGAAAGTGCTGTGTCCTCTTCTTAACCAGCCCTGGTCGCCAGCCTCGCCTGCTTTTCGTGGAAGGCAGACAGATAGAGAGGACGCTGCATAGGCTCTGGAGACCCAGCCGGGTTTGAACCTCCGTTCCACCTTGTGCAATTTATGGAACGTCTCAGAGTCCCAAGGTGGTACAGAGGTCAAGAGCAGGGGCTCTGGGCTCAGAGAGAGTTCCAGACAAGACCTGCTGCACCACCTACTTGCCGGGTGCAAGGGCAGCAAGAAACTTTGCCTCCCTGAGCCTGGGTTTTCTCTTGTGTGAGCAGGAGTGGTAACAGTGCCCGCGGTTAGTGCAGAGTCCTCAGGCTACTCCTTGGCTCAGTGATTCTTGGTGATTCCCGTTGTCATCACTGTCATCCAGTTTTCTTAACTGCTATGTCTCTCTTTTACATGGGTCTAGAGATTGTCCCAGAGAAGGCAATGGCACCCCACTCCAGTACTCTTGCCTGGAAAATCCCATGGACGGAGGAGCCTGGTAGGCTGCAGTCCATGGGGTCGTGAAGAGTCGGACACCACTGAGCGACTTCACTTTCATTTTTCACTTTCATGCATTGGAGAAGGAAACAGCAATCCACTCCAGTGTTCTTGCCTGGAGAATCCCAGGGACGGGGGAGCCTGGTGGGCTGCCGTCTATGGGGTCACACAGAGTCGGACACGACTGAAGTGACTTAGCAGAGATTGTCCATCTTGGCCACATTCATAGGATAATTATTCCAAAAGAACCTCATGCTTAACTGTAAGTTAATTCCAACTTCTGCTTTTCTGTAGATTTGGATTCTTGGGAGTATGGGGAAACATCATTTAAAACATTGCTTCTCTTTCTGAGGATGATCTTGAATGTTCCTTTCCACAGGAGTGCACAGGTGTGGCATGTTTTGTTTGCTCATGAGGCATAGCCCAACACACACACACACACACTCCATACCATGCCACATCACATCACACAGGGGTTCAGAATGCCTTCCCTCAGCTGCCTCTTCCAAGGCCCTGCTTAAATCCCAGGTAATTCCGTGATATCTTCTTTGACTTCTTTATGTGGAAGTCACTTATCTCTCTTTCTCTCTTTTCAGAAGGGCTTTTCATCACTTGCTGCTCTTCTGGGGATTTAAACAGTGCAGGGACCTCCCCCATTCGTGGTAGAAATTTTGATCAGCAGGCCGTGCTTTCTGGGACACACTCAGCTGCGGAGAGCACTGAGGTTCCTGCGCTGAGACGTGCTCGGCCTGGGCTGTCTCAGCTGATGCCTCTGGCGCCCTTGGAGGTGAAGATGACGTTAGCTCAGATTCATGGACCACGTCCAGAAAGGTGCTTAGTCCGCGATAAAGGGCAGATCTCATTTACATGAAGACCTGGCGAGGCTGGTGCATAACAATGAGATTGTGTATAAGATGGAAACTGCATGGCCAAAGCGATCTTTGAAAAAGCTTAAGGAAGGCATCACTTCAGGGGCCAACTCAGGGAATGCAACAGACTCAGACATCAGGACAGACCGTCTGTGTGTGTCTGTGGAGCACTAGATAGAGTGGTGAACTCGTGTTTGGATCCTGTGGTGTTACACAGGTAGATACGTTTGCTTTTGACACTGGGTTCACCCTCAGTCAAGGAGATGCTCAGCTATGAGAAGTGCACAGGGTCTGAGGAACCGACAGAGAACCCAGACTCCCATCTCCTGTCTCCAGGGCTGTGCTCTTTAGACAGAAACGTGGCTGAACAAATAGCAGATAGAATGTCTAGAGGGAACAATAGTGACTAGACTATATGGCAACATCAGTAGCAATTGTTATTTTTTTCCTTTCTTAAGTTCCTCTAGTTAAACGCATCTAAAGTTTTATGTGCATATGAAGCAATTTTTCTGTTCCTGTTTTACACATATGGAAACTGAGCTTCCTAGAGTTTAAGTCCTTGCCTGAGGTTGCCCAGCAAGGAGACAGGTATATCTGAAATGAAGCCTGGGGATTGTCCTGCTGGTCCAGTGGTTAAGACTTCATGCTCACAAAGCAGGGGGCCCAGGTTCAATCCCTGGTCAGGGAACTAGATCCCACATGCTGCACCCAAAGATCCTGTGTGTTGCAAGTAAGACCTGGTGCCACCAACTAAACAAATGAAGAAGAAGATGAAAGAAAGAAATGAAGCCCAGGGCTTCCCAGTGGTGCTCCAGTTCTGGACCCCAGCTCACTTATTCAGAGGATCCACTTGCAGTAACTATAAGGGGCAGCTAAAGAAGCTCAACTTTACACTTTTGAGAGAAACTGAGCGGCGGTTGGAGAGCACTAAAGGTCATGTTCCTTCCCCTTCACTGATGTGGGAGAGTGTCTGTATTTTAGGTGAACCGTCAAATTAGATTTTTCATCTGCAAACACCCACCCAGGCAGGAATGTGGTTTAAACATATGGATGCCAGGGATTTCAAAGGAAACCTACTTGGGTGTCTAAGTCCCCTTCATCGCTCCTCCTACTGGGCTGGGGTGGATGGGGCCCAGTGGGGAATTGCCAGCCTGCAGCTCTTTCTGCCTCTTGAGTCCCCAGAGCCGAGCTTCCTTGTTTACTTATTTAGGGCCCAGCAGAGGAAGTGGTAAAGGAAACTTGCTGAGTCGTTTTCTGAGAAGAGACCATATTTGTTCGCAGAGGAAGCTGTTGCTTTCTGGGATCTGGCTACAACAGAAAGGACATCGGCTCCAACTAGAGTTTTCCAGAGGGTGCCCGGGAGTTGGAAGAGCTGAAGACACCTCCACACTCTGGATTTGGGGTTCTCTGTCCATGGGTGCAGCGCCCGTGTTCAGCTGGTGAGCTTCATCTTCAGCGAGCAGCCATGGCATTCAAGAACGTGCCCTTTCGCTCTGAGGTCCTGAGTTGGGACCCTGACACCCTTGCAGACTATTTCAAAAAGGTGAGCCTTGCTCTTCGGTGGCTGGGAGGCTGGGCAGAGGGAGTGCAGGCAGAATGCGAGAGGCGTGAAAGACAGCGGGGAGCTTCCAGCCCTGTGCAGTCTCTCTGAGGGAGCAGCTCTGAGCTCTCTGCGTATGTTCTGGGGGAGAAGGGAGGCCCTCAAGGGGCAAGTACCTACTACAAGCTAGGATTTGAGTCTGTCCTCTTCAAGCACAGTCGCGTCTAACTCGCGCCAGGATTGCTGTCCTACTGGCTCAGTTGCAAAATAAGCTCAAGGAAGCTAACTGGACCCAAGCCCCAGGGACTGCATGTGATGGAGGCAGGATTCTGGTCACACCTGTCCAGTTTCAACGTGCCCTGAGACTCAGACTGCTATAACTGCTAGTGAGATCAAGGCTTCTTGCTCGAAAGGGAAATATGGAGTCTTGCGGGGTAGGAGAGAGGAAAGGAAGGGTGGAAGACTATGATGAATGATGCTGGAGATGGCGTCTGAGCAAGTCATTGCTTGTGACTTTAACCACTTATCTAGAACAGAGTCTCATGGGAACTTCACGAGGGTCTTATGATGCAGGCTGGGAAATGACATGAGCCTCAGGTTATAGCTAGGGAAACTGAGTCCCCTGAAAAGGAAAAGATTTGCCGGGAAGGGTCAGGGCCAAGCTTGTGGCAGAGCTGAGACCAGAGTGTTGCTGTCCTGCCTTCTCGTCTTGAAGGAGCTCAAGGATCCTTGTGTTTGGTCATCTGCTGGGGGGGTCGTGGGTCACAGGCTTGCTCGGGCAGATCCCAAGCCACATGACCCTCTATGACTATCCAAGGGATACGATGTCTCATGAGGGACCACTGAGCTCTTAACGCTCCCATTTCTGGATGCTGGCATCCAATTCAGTGGATACTCCAGAATATCACAAAGATACGATTTTAAGTCATGACCTCCGATGTTTTTCCTGGTATGGGGTAGACTCCCTGTAACCCATACCCAAACCTGGGGTCTACAAGTACCAAAGTATTTAGTGTCACAACTGTTCTCCCCTAAGAAAAATGTGAAAATGCTGAATTGGGTGTGGCACGATAGAGGCACAGCCCACAGATCCTGTATTTGCTGCTTGTTGTGCATCTCGTTTCTATTATTTTTCCCTCACTGGAACCCATAATAAACAGATTTCAGCACAGCGGGTGCAAAGATCGTTGAGACAGCCGACTTTTGAAAGAGTCAAAAGTATTTATTCTAAATACTTTTTTCTTAAATGTAGACCAAATAACTGAGGGCCACAGTGAAATTTACTAAGATGCTATAAAGTGGCATATTAGATCAATAAAGAAAGGAGAAAAGAACTGAGAATTAGCAAGGGCACACTTGGGGACAGGCTGATGGGCCAGAGGCCCAGTCTCCAGTCTGGGAAGGAGAATTGCACAACCTGGGGCAGCAACTGAAGAATCCAAGGGCAAAGTTCCATTTAGGACAGGGAGATGGCCTGCAGCTCAGGATGATTCACGCAGATGCTCTCTGCCTGAGTTGGGGGAAGAGAGAATTTTCTTCTTACAGACCCTAGACTCCAGATCACGTCCACAGAAACTGAACAAGTTCCCTTCCCAGCATGAAGGCAGGAATGAGGAGACTGAAGGGTGTTTGTGGTCTAGGAAGTTCCAGCCCTTCTACAGACCCAGATGGACACCCTTCAAATACTGAGCATCTCACCTCCCCCAGAGAGAAAATGCTAAGTGAACTGACCGTGGAGTCCTTTGGGGACGGATCTTAGCCACCAAAGTCCTACTGGCAGAGGCAATTTTTCTTTCTTTCTTTTTTTATAAATCAAGGAGTGTGTCATGTTTCTGATTTAGGCATGCCATTTTCTTTTGCTTCCTTTTAATTTATTTTTATTTCTTTACTTGACTGTGCTGGGTTTTAGTTGTGGTGTGCAGGATCTGCGTTGTGACATGCTGGATCTCTCAGTTGTGGCATGAACCCAAGCCCCCTATATTTGGAGTCAGCCACTGGACCCCCAGGGAAATCCCAGCAGGTCTACTTTCTAATGAAGCGCTGGGGCCAGGGCCCCCTTGGAGGCACCTCCCCAACCAGCTCTGGAGTCAGTCATACCTTGGCTTGAATCCTGACTCTGCCACCTGCGAGCTTGGTGACCCTCCCTTAGTTACTACACCTCTCTGAGCCTTGGCTTCCTCATCGGTAAAACAGGGCTACTAACAGTGACTAACTCATGGGATTGTTGGGATAAATAAAGGAAATGCGTGTGTGAGGCCTCCAGCAGAGAGGGGGCCAGTTCGTGTTCGAGCTTCCCTTTCTCCTACTCTGTTCACTGGGCCCTGGCTGGGGGCTCCCTGCAGACCAGTGGGCTTCTGTGTCTTACGATCTCAGACACATGCAGCTCATCCTTTGTCTGGAACTTGAGGACTGAGGTCATGTTTTCTATTTCTTTAAGTCCTCTAATTCCTTTTGACTTAGCAGAAAGGGATCCTTGGACCATGCAGTGGAGAAGACTCTGGATCAGAGCCATGAGATCTAATCCTAACTGTGCCCTCAACTCACTGTGACCTTCAGCCAGTCCCTTCCACTCTCTGGGCCTTAGTTGTCCTATCCACAACACCAGGTACCTGCTCAGAGCAGTACCAACCAGAGCTTGTCACTCATAAGAATATTCTGGGTATATGCTAAAAAGACAGGGCTTCCCTGGGACCTCAGTCAGTAAAGGATCTGCCTGCAATGCAGGGGACATGGGTTCGATCCCTGGGTCAGGAAGATCCCCTGGAGAAGGGAATCCCCCGGATTTTCCAGTATTCTTGCTTGGAAAATCCCATGGATGGAGGAGCCTGGTGAGCTACAGCCCATAAGGTCACAAAGAGTAGGATACTACTGAAGCGACTGAGCATGCGTGCATGCATGCTAAAAGGACAGAGGTCTTACCCCCAGGCCTAGATATTACTGACTCAGAATCAAACTTCTAGGCAGGCCCCAGTCTGCAGGACTGTCTGTCTATCTAGAGTCCGAGTCAGCAATCTGCAAAATCAGAGATTCAGCTGATAATGCTGATGGTGAAATTGATGAATTAAAGGCAGTTGATCCATGGCTGATTCATGTCAATGTATGACAAAACCCATTACAATATTGTAAAGTAATTAGCCTCCAACTAATAAAAATAAATGGAAAAAAAATAAAGGCAGTTGAATATTTCAAGAACAATTTCACTCAGTTGCAATATGGATAAAAGGGGTGTTTGGGGCTATGCAGAAGCTGATTTCTTCCCAAAGACCACTAAATAATTTTTTCCGAGCTTTCTAATATTCACCCTACTCTGTCACACCGTGAGGTTCACAACAATTGCACTTACTCTTTCGATTTCTTGGCCATAAGGAAAGGTTATGATTTTAAGTTTGCGCCAAAAGAAGGCCTCCACAAACTGTGAAATCCATACTTATGAGGAGAAGCTGAGATTCTCAAAGACAAACATTTTACCTTAAATTCTCTAGCTACAAACCTCAAATTTAAAGATATTTCAAAAGCATATTTCTAAATGCTTAGACTGTTGAGGACTAGGTCAAACAGACACCTGCTTCAACTGTCAATTGATATGACTCTAGGAAAGCAACAGGTTCTAAAAATGATCATTCCCGTTGAGGCTGTAATTCTATTCTGAGACTCTAACTTTGACTATTTAAAATAGAAGAAAAAATTTTGTGCAAAAGAATATCTATGATGTTTTTCTATCTTGTAGGTTAAGCTTCTCTTAAGTCTGTTCACTTACCATTTGAAGGTTTTACTGTTAGTAACTAAAAGGAGAACATTCCTGATAGAGATGTTAAAGCCTTGATCTAAAGTCCAGGTGTCACCTCTGTCTCCTGCCTATCCATGGAACCTTATATAAGTTACTTGACTCTTTGTGCCTTTGACTCTCCATTTGAAACATGTGAAGCTTAAATGATTAAAATTGGTTTAAACACTTAGAATGGTGCCTATCATACAGTAAGTGTTCAGTAATTATTAGAAGTTTCAATTATCACTGTTACAGCAGCAGTTTTGGGAAGAAACTAAATGTTCAGCAATAGAGCAAATTAAAATAATGTTCAAAATCACTTTGTAATAACATGAGGCAGTGCCTTTATTTTTCAAGAGAAAAAGTCAAGATAAGGAGATTGAATATGAATGATAACATTGATTATGTTTAGAAAGATGCTTTGGAAAAACCACTGAAGGAGACACATTGCCATGTTCACCAAGGTTGTCTTTGGGTGACCAGATGAGAGATACTATTTATTTTCTTCTTTTAATTCTTTTCTATTTGCTGGAGGAGCGTATGGCCAACCCTTAGCAGCCCTAACAGCATTCTTTCTGTAGAGGTTGGCCTCAAAGCCTTCGACAGGCAATTTCTCCATTTTAAAGTCCCAAGAGGTTAGTTAGTGAAAGCGGGGCTGATGTAAGGATAGGGCCCCTGTGATAGACAGGGAGGGGAGCGGGGAGCCTGGCTAGCCACAAGTACCACAAATTGCTGAGCTCCTGGGGCAGGCAAGGAAGGGGAACCAATGGCATGAACCTGACTGCGCTGAAAGTATCTCCTGTCCTCTTTTTCAGCTAAATTACAAGGACTGTGAAAAGGTCGTGAGGAAATATCACATTGATGGGCCACGTTTTCTGGTGAGTGCTGGCTGCTAGTTCAACACATTATGACCAGAACTATTCTGTAACTTTAACCAATAGCTGCAGAGCCACTGGTCTACCCTGCCTCTGAGGCTGTGCAGCGGCAATGCCTGTCTTCAGGGTCCCATACAACCCAAGGCCTTCCTCAGGGTTTGGTATGAGCACCTCTCTCATCACCTCTCAGGATCCTCCTATTTAGAATACCTCCCAGATCTTTCACTGACACTAAGGTACATTCTGAAGTCAAAGTGTAAGTAGGAAGTAAATTACAGTACACACACACACACACTGCAGCCCTAACAGCATTCTTTCTGTAGAGGTTGGCCTCAAAGCCTTCGACAGGCAATTTCTCCATTTTAAAGTCCCAAGAGGTTAGTTAGTGAAAGCGGGGCTGATGTAAGGATAGGGCCCCTGTGATAGACAGGGAGGGGAGCGGGGAGCCTGGCTAGCCACAAGTACCACAAATTGCTGAGCTCCTGGGGCAGGCAAGGAAGGGGAACCAATGGCATGAACCTGACTGCGCTGAAAGTATCTCCTGTCCTCTTTTTCAGCTAAACTACAAGGACTGTGAAAAGGTCGTGAGGAAATATCACATTGATGGGCCACGTTTTCTGGTGAGTGCTGGCTGCTAGTTCAACACATTATGACCAGAACTATTCTGTAACTTTAACCAATAGCTGCAGAGCCACTGGTCTACCCTGCCTCTGAGGCTGTGCAGCGGCAATGCCTGTCTTCAGGGTCCCATACAACCCAAGGCCTTCCTCAGGGTTTGGTATGAGCACCTCTCTCATCACCTCTCAGGATCCTCCTATTTAGAATACCTCCCAGATCTTTCACTGACACTAAGGTACATTCTGAAGTCAAAGTGTAAGTAGGAAGTAAATTACAGTACACACACACACACACACCCCTCTTGAAAATCTATTCAAACAGCACTCATACTCTGAGAAGGCCAAGGGGAAAAACAGCCACGTGGGAGAATGGAAGATTCTCTTTTCTTATTTGTCACTCTAGGGAACATCCTCGCTGACTAGAATAAAGGTAGAATCACCCTCCTTATTTCAATTATGTCCCTCTTTCTCTTTACTAAATTCACATCACTGGTTTTGTGCCAATTAACACACATGTGTTATGGTTTTCTCCACTCCTTTATGTTGCAAAAAGCTTCCAGTGTAATACTGCGATGCAGCTCCATATTAAGGACTAAGCCGTTACAGGGAAGGGGCTGCTGCTCCAACTGGGGTTTGAACCACTAGACAGCGGCCGGGAGGCGGTCTGAGCATTTCCCCTGGAACGACACTTCTGCCAATGGGTAACGGAGGCCCTGACTGCACCGATCCAACCCTTTTGGTTCTGTTTCTTCATTATTCAAAAACGAAGCAGGAACAAGCCTTCAAAGGTCTCATGGGGTCAGTGTTCCCAATTTGGATTTGGACTCAGTAGATAAGTCAGACTGTTTCCTTGCAAGACCTGGTCAGCAGAAGCGAGGAAACTGGGCTATGAGGTTTCAGGGATGGAAGGGGCCATAGAGGGTAGTTTTCCACCCAGTACACCAATCCATTTCCTGTATTGCATCTCTGCTACCAATAGCTTCTTGAATTCCTTCACTGATAGTCAGCTCACTACCATACAGTCATCTATTCCTTTCTGGGCAGTACTGAAGTCTCACACTGAGACCAAACTTATGCCCCCTTTGCTTCCATGCGCCATGTAAGACATCTTCATTCACTGTTCCACGTAAAACATTCAGTCATTCACCCTGCCATTCACTTAACAAGGACTTTCCTGGGCTCCTTTTATATACCAGACCATGCCATGTGCTGGGAATGTCGAGATGATTAAGATGTGATTTCTGCCTCCCAGAAGTTTGTTTTATAGCAGAAAGTTATCTCCAGGAAGGCTCTAACCACCACTTCAATTGCAATTAGAGAAACATGTACAGAAATGTGATGGGATTTATTCTGTCACACACCTAGTAACTGGACTAAAGCATACATTTATTTTAATTTAACACCGCTTGAGTTTTTAATAATGCTACTTCTTTGCACTGGGCTTTAAGCCAATAGACTTTGAGCATTTAATTGTTATTCTTCTTGCAACTTACGGCTAAATCTGAATATTTCATTCTTTTAGCTTTTAGCTAAAAGATGCTTTCAGAACTGAGAACTGAGACTTCTCAGGGCTAAATCAAAAGGGAGTAAGACCTCTTTCTTGATGGGCCTGGTCGTGGCCCTGGGTGACCTCTAATAAGCCCATGCCCTCTCTGAACTTCTTGTTCCTTCCTCTGGAATGGAGCACACTGGACTGAGTGATGGGGGTGACAGTCCAGCCCAGCTCTGGGGGGTCCCCCCACCCCCCTTTTGTGAGCTTCAGGCCTATTGAGACAGGGTTGTTGCCTTGGTTGAGGAGCTTTGCCTTCTCTACCCTGATATCTGGGATGTGCCAGGTCCTCAAAGAATGCTGCTTACTCTCATTACTGTGTGAACAACAGGAAGTAGAAAGAGGGGCTCAAGGAGCCAGGGGAGTAGGGAGCAGAGCCCAGCCCTGCCCTGGCAGCTTCTGCTAAAACCTCCTTCCATGCCAGATGCTCTGGGTATGATCTGAGTGTTGTTCTGAGCTCTGAGCTCTCAGCTGCCACCCTTCCCAGCGTTACGACGGCCAGGGCCATTCTGCTGTAAAGGTGGAAATGGAGGGCCCCAGCTGTCTTCACCCTCCACCCCTCCATTTCCCTCCATTCTCTCCCTTTCTCCGTCCTTTCCTCCCTCCCGTCCTGCCTTCCTTTTACTTCCTTCAGTGCAGGAGCGAGCAGCTCCCTTGAATCTGTTCTGCCAGCATTTTGTTTTCCACTGAGGAGTCTGGTGAGGGCATGTTGGTTCTATGCTCCCAAAGGGCTAAAGAAGAGGAGGCCACGTGCTTGGAAGCTGTGTCAGTTAGAAAAGTGTGCGGCTGCATGAAAGAGAAACTGAACCACAGTGGCTTACCCAAAGAGGGGCTTATCTTTCTCAAGTGACAAGAAGTCTAGAGGTGGGCACTGGGGGCTAGAGAGATGCTAAAGGAAGTCATCAAGAGCTCAGGCCTCACCGAGCCAGTGGGAGCTCTCCGTGGCGTCTCTCCTAGCGGCTCTAAGAGGGCCACTCCATCTCCAGGCGTTACATCTGCACTCCAAGCAGGAGGGAGAGGGGGATGGCGAAGAGTGAAAAACGAAAGTGCATGGGGATTGCATCCCCTTTATTTTCAGGGGTACTTTCCCAAAAGCTTTATTCAGTTAGACTTCAGATTATATCTCACTGGCCACAATGGAGTCCCATGACCTCGGTCACATGCCAGAGAATCTAGGGTGTTAAATATTTTGAACTGGACCCTTTTACTGCCTTGAACAAAATCCAGATCCCATCAGTAAGGGAGCAATATAGTGGATATTGAGTAGGCAAGCGACAATGTCTGCTACAATGCCTCTCCAGGCTGGGTCCAGTTCTCAGCTTTTCCTGCTCTCTTGTCCCTCTTAAGGACACACTCGGCACATAATCCTATTCCTGTAAAGCCACTAGTCTAACTCCAAGTCATTGTACAAGTAACTCGGAGTTTCCAGACTTTGCTCAAGGTTTGAAGAAGGTAGAGGAGGGGGTTTTACACTGTTATATCACATAGAAAAATTCTCCAGACATCATGTTTGTGTGTGCCCAATTGCCCAGTCATATCTAACTCTTTGTGACCCCAAGGACTGTAGACTGCTAGGCTCCTTTTTCGGTGGGATTCTCCAGGTAAAAATACTGGAGTTGGTAGCCATTTCCTCCTTCAGGGGATCTTCCCAATCCAGGGATCAAACTGGCGTCTCCTGGATTGCAGGCAGATTCTTTACAGCTTGAACCTTTGGGGAAGCCCAAACAGGTTTACCATCTTCCATCTTTCCTTCCAATTTCTGTCCCTGTTTCAAAGGCCTTTCTCTGTATTTCTAGCCACACTCACATGCTTACCTTTTCATTCACCTGCTTCTTGAAATTCCCTCAGCTTACATCTTTGACTCAACAGAAGAGAAGGCAATGGCCCCCTGCCTGGTTCTCAGCATCCATCCCTCTGGCCACTCCCAGGAAGCCCTCCAGTCCTCATGCCACACTGCTAACATAAGTCTTGGTATCCTCCGTGAGAAAGGGGTGGTTCCAGGGGACAGAATGCCATGGCTCAGTGATGCTAAAAAAAAAGAAGTTAAGAAGTTTGATGAAAGTCTTGATTGTCTCAGGACTCTTGCCAAACCCTCCCTCCCAGCTCTGTCGCAAGGTCTGAATGGGGGCTGGGTCAGACTCTGTTCCTAAGAGCTGGAGTGGATGAGGCCATAAGCACATTTTAAGATGCCCCAGCCCCAGTGCCAGCTGGGCTTAACGGGAAGTTTGCCCAGCTCATCTCAGAAGGCAGCCAAAATCCTGCCAGGCAGCTCCCAGCCCAGAGCGGAAGAAGAAGCAAAGACACTAACTAACCTCCAATAGCCAGCCAGACCCCAGGACAGGGCTCCCCACCCCGGGACAGAAATTGCCCACCTAAGCCCTGTTTGTTGCTCTTCAAAGGTCTGTCAGGCCCTGAGCCAAGCACAGGACACACTTCCTCACGGCCCCTGAAACGGAGCTGTCCATATCGTTAAGGTTCCCGCTATATAGACAAGGAAGCTGAGGCTTAGCGAGACTGAGTGTCTGTCCCAAGTCAGGGACTGCTAAGTGAGGGAACCAAGATTTTACAGCAGCCTGTCCGACTCCAGCGCTCCCCCGACCGCTGGGCCCCCGGCCTCAACTAGACCGTTAAAGGGCTCCCTGCTTGGCCTCAGCTTTGGGTCTGTGGAGCATGTCCCACCCTCTTGGCTTCCCTCGTCTCTCTCCCTCCCCTCCTGTCTTCCAACACAGGCCACTAAGGCTCCAAAGGGCATAGATGTGGTAGGAGAAAGCTCGCAGAAGGAAATAGCCCACGAAAGCCATAGAGCCGGGTCCTAGCCCCAGCTCCATCGCCTGCAAGCTGAAATCCCCTTACACCCCCAGGCCCCACTTTCTCACTAAAATGAAACAATGCTACATCACAGGGCTGATGCAAGGATTAATCAAGGTGTTGTAAGGAGGCAGAGTCAGTTCTTTACAAACATGAGTCTTTTTCTCCTTTCCCCTCTCGGTTCCCTCAGGACAGCCTCTTTTGCTTCCTCGCATCTAGAGAATTCTACCAGCACCTCAGGTGAAGGAGGCAGCTGGGCTGGGACGAGGCCATGGAGCACAGACTCCTCCAGGCCGGCTGCTCACCGCTGTCTCACACGGCGACCGAGGGCCTGAGGTCTGGGGTTGGGGGCTAGCGTGGCCACGTCCAGTGAAATCTGAGTTTCGGGCTCCCTGTGACCTGATCTGGCTGTCCCGGGCCTGCGGGCTCTGGTGCCCCATCTGGAAGCTGTTTATTCGGTCGGGTGGATGGGGCCTCCTCTTGCGCTGGCTGCAGTCCTGCTGTCGGCTGTCATTTCACATCTGAGTGCTCACCTGGCCTGGAGCCCTTCCTGTGGGTTGTAACGACCACTGTCTCCATTTCAGAGCCTGGCAGAGAACGACATCCAGAAGTTCCCTAAGCTCCGCGTGCCGTGAGTACTGACCTGAGGCTGCGGTGGGACGGGGAGCAGACTGGGGAGCTGAGTCACTTTTCTGTCACTGTCAGCTTAGAATGGGAAAGCAATCAGGATGAAAGAAGGCGAGAGCAGTGTTCGGGAAGAGAAGTTACATAACGTGTTGAGAAAAAGAGTAACGGTTTTGGTCCGGCTGGTGTTTGGCTGCTCTTGCCAAAGATAAGCTTGATTCTGGACCATGTTTTCATTTCCTCTCTCCCCAGTGGGGTGGGTTGGCTTTTGAAAATAGCACCAGAATCAAGAGATCTGAGGTTTCATCATGGTTTTCATCGCCAACTCAGTAATTGCTTCAGGTTTTTGGACCTCGGTAAAATGAGAGCATTGGACCAGATGAGTCTGGTAGTGGACTCCCTTTGGTCTGTCAATAATGACCATTTGGGGTGGCTGCCACGGGCATCGTGTTGAGAAGAATTCTGAGGAAAGGGGGGCCATTTCTGAGGTCTGATGTGGCTGCTAAAATGTGAAGTTTCAGTGCACACACTGTGCCATGTTTTCTGCCCTTCTAGCAGAAGTCTCACACTCGGATGCTTGCAGGAGCCAAAATGAAATGTGTGAATGGGTCAGGCTGAAAAATACAAAGTCCAATCATTTTACCACCTTTGAATAAAGCTTCAATATGGAGAAATATTTTTCTGCTGTAAGAAAAACGATAGGGTCTTAGTTGCAGCACTCAGGATCTTTCTTACATCAGGTGGGATATTTCGCTGTGGTGCATGGATTCCCTAGTTGTAGTGCGTGGATTCATTAGTTGTAGTGCGTGGCTTCCCTAGTTGTGGTGCGTGGATTCCCTAGTTGTGGTGCATGGATTCCCTAGTTGTAGTGTGTGGATTCCCTAGTTGTGGTGCATGGGCTCATTTGTGCACTGTACAGACTTGGTTGCCCTGAAGCACGTGGGATCCCCAATCAGGGATCAAACCTGCCTCCCCTGCATTGCAAGACAGATTCTTAACCACTGTACCTCCAGGGAAGTCTCAATGCCTAATCTTTAAATTTATCAAGTAGCTAGAAATACAAGTTTTATGCAATATATCTCAATTTTTAAATGTTATTCAAATATTTTTTAGTATTTTGAATGCCAAAGTAAGCATCTTTATGGGCTAGATTTAGTGTGGGGGCCCCTAGTCTGAGACCTCCACTCCAGACACCCTCTGGGGTCCTTTCTCTTGCTCTAAACGTCTTAGGGCTCACAACGATGAAAGGGAAGTAGGTCAGTGAAATAGGAGGTAAAAGCTTTGTGAGTAGGGAGAGCTGCCAGAGTAGCTGAAATAAGAAAAAATACGACTCTCAGGTCTCCCTCCTCTGGAAGGGTGAAGAAAAAGAAGGGAATAAGGATTTGCCTTTGGTACTGCCTGTCTCCAGGGGCCACTACTGTTGAAGAATAATTGATTTTAAAAGATTTTTTCCTAGTCCAAAATGGCTATTTAAATCTAAGTTAAATTAAAAGTTCAGGGACTTCCCTGTGGCCCAGTGATCTAACACTCCATGCTCCTGATGCACAGAGCCTGGGTTCCATCCCTGGTCATGGGATGAGAACCTGTATGCCACAACCAGGGGTTCCCACGCTGCATCTAAAAAGCCCACCTGCCACACTAAAAGATCTCACATGCCACAACTACAAACCAGTGCAGCCAAATAACTAAAAATAAAGATTTAAAAAATAATAAAACATTCAGCCCCTCAGAGGCACTAGCCACATTTCAAGGGCTCAATAGCTAGATACAGTGATGACGATTATACTGGATATTATAGATGTGATGCCCTAGGAAAAGGCCACAGTTCTAGGTCAAGGAGAGAACTTAACATATTGCAGTGAGAACTGGTGGCTAGTGGGCCAGAGTCAGCTTGTAGACACGTTAAGCTGGATCCACACAGTGTTTTAAAATCAAGAAGTGGCATCAGGAAAGACTTTGGGGAAGAAGGGAACTTAACTTGGATCTTGAAATACATTGAGAGTGGTCAGATGAAAAATGATTGAAAGACTTTCTAGAAATGGGGACTGTATTGCAAAGGCATGACACCAGTGTGTTTACTGGAACTGCAAGTAGGTCAGAGCATTGAGGTGTATACGTGGGGGAGTGAGCAGTAAAAAGACCACAGTAACTAGTTATAACTGTGAAGGATGCTTTGAGCTGTTATGAGTCTGAGAGTGTTGGTGAAATGAGTTCATCAGGGGGAACACTGAGGTAAAACCTGCATGTTGACTCTTTCCAGGGTGTGTAAAAGATGATGGAGAGGAGGACTCAGTTGGAGGCATGGAGCCTGGTTAGGAATGATGGCTATGATCTCGCTATGAGACGGCCGCTTCTCCCAGGGCTGTGGCTAGGAAGATGCTGGAAGGAGGGGATTCAATCAGAGCAGTAGAAGGAAGCAGTAGAAGGAAGGAGATGAGGAAGGCACTTTCAACTGGGAGGATCATCTTTTAAATCTTAAGGCTGAGTTGAGCTGATGTCTGCAGTTCAACATGAGGTGAAGGTGGGATATTTCTTCAGTTATTTAAAAACTAAAACAACAACTTGGCTCTCCAGTGTGTTTTCCCCCCAAGGCAAGTCACGAGGGCTATCCATGGAGCATGACAGGTGAACTGGTGGGGAAGGCATCCAGGGAAGGTCCGGCAGCCCTGATCAGGTGATTCTGAGTGTGAGCATTGGTATAAAAAGTACCAATTTTCAGTTATACCTCTGTGAGCTCTGTGCCTGGGATGAGTCCTAGAGTACTCTGAGTTTCCAAGTGTATAAAATGAAGGAATGGGTTACATGAACTTCATGAGCACGTTCTTTTAAAAAGATATTATTTCAGATCTCAACAGGCAGACAGGAGAGCTTAGTGAGTAAAATGCAGGCTCTGAGATCAGACTAGTTGAGACCCAATTCTCCCATTCATTAACTATGAGTCTGTGGACAAGTTATCACAGTTCCCTGAGCCTCAGCTTCCTCATCTGTAACATGGGGACAATAACAGACCCTGTCTCAAAGGACCAGTGAGAGAGTTAGAAGAAATAACGGAGATATAATAAAATGTACTGAAGAGGCATTAACTACTCCAGCCATTTAATGCAAAATCCCAATGAGCACCATTTCAGATTTTTACTAATTATTTTATCCTACTAACTGGGGAGGATGAAAGAATAGAAAGGCATGGGCTTCGGAGCAAGGCAAAGCCAGGTTCTAAAGCAGGCTCTGCCTCCTACCAGCTGTGGGACTCAGGCAAGTCATTTCAAGTCTGAGCCTCAGCTTTCTCATCTAGAGGAGGGGAAAGAAGGAACTCAGAGGGAGCAGTGTATATGGGTACGTGGGTAAGTGAGAGGCAGTCCACATAAGCTGCCTGTGTGTATAGATATTCAGGGCTCATTTGTTGCATTACTTTGTACACAGGTCCACTTGCCCTAGACCATTTCCCTAAAGGGCTATAGAAAAGAAATTGTGTTTATGTACAGTAGACCAAAACAAGATTACACTCCTCTGAATATCTCAATTTCCTTAAATCTGCTTTAAAAAGTCAGTACTGAATGGATTTTGTAAGAAGGCAGTTTCTGGTGGGAAAGTGTTCTCTGTCTGCAGACACAGGACTGTCTCAGGCATAGTTTCCCCCAGAGACCTCACAGACAATGTGACGGAGGAGAGTTTTAAAATAAAACAATGTAACATCCTTTTAGAGGACCGAGCCTAGCACCTATGGTAGAACTGAGCATGATCTAGTTAAAATGATAGAACACATGATAAAATCTTCTGCTGATCAACTGGAGTCTTTTTTTTTTTAGGGTTTTAATTTTTTTTTGTTTTTTTGCACTGGATCTTTGTTGTTGCTTGAGGGCTTTCTTTAATCATGCTGAGTGGGGGTTCCCTGTAGTTGCAGTGTGCGGGCTTCACTTTGCTGTGGCTTCTCTTGTTGCAGAGCACAGGCTCTGGGGTGCAACGGCTCGGTAGTTAATGGTGCATGAGATTAAGTTGCCCGCAGCATGTGGGCTCCTCCCAGAGCAGAGACTCAACCCATGTCCCCTGCATTGGCAGGCAGACTGTTATCCAGTGTACCACCAGGCAATTCTGATGCTATAAATTTTATGTTTAAAATAATACAGTGTAACTTAAAAAAAAAATAAGAAGAGGGTAAGGATGTGGTGGTAATGTAGGCAACAGATAGGTATTGGATGATTCTCTTTATAACATCAATGATCACTGTCCCCATTATCCATAGTGGAATTAGGATGGAAAAAGCTAAGATCCAGTTAGAGAGACAAGGCAGTTGTGCCTGTTGATTTGTCTGTCTTCTGAAAAGGCTGTCATCTCCTAACCTCAGAGACAGCTCCCTGTCTTATCTGCTCAGCGCCTACCTAAGATATAAAGACAGCAAAGGATGGCGGGCAGGATGGAGGGAGGGCGCAGAGCTGAACACAGCACTGTGTCCAGGACACGTGCTCAACTCCCAGCAGACTGGGGACAGGGCCAGTCCCTGTCCGACACATGCCTTCCCTCCCATTCATTGGCTGGAGCCCTGTCCAGGTGCCCCGTCCTCCCTACATGGAAAGTGCCTCCATTCCACTGACTGCCGCCCCTCCTCCTCAACGCAAGCCCAGAGCACCACGTCAAAAACCAGCATGGGGCCTTGACAAACACCTTCCCCAGCGCCCTGCTGTCCTTGTTGGTAACAGAGGACAACATTTCCGGCTACTACACAAAATGACTGTGCAGCACAAGTAACTCTCCCATTCATTGGCTGGAGCCCTGTCCAGGTGCCCCGTCCTCCCTACATGGAAAGTGCCTCCATTCCACTGACTGCCGCCCCTCCTCCTCAACGGGAGCCCAGAGCACCAGGTCAAAAACCAGCATGGGGCCTTGACAAACACCTTCCCCAGCGCCCTGCTGTCCTTGTTGGTAACAGAACAACTCTTCCGGCTACTACACAAAATGACTGCGCAGCACAAGTAACATAAGACTTGTAAATCTGTCAGCGGGAGGGCAGGGCTGAGAAGGGGGAGACCCTCAGATTCTTGCCTCCCGCTCACATGCCTGGTCGCCCCTGGAGGCCTGAGTCTGGAGACTGATGTCCTGGCTTCTCCCTGGCTCCTCAGGTGACAGGACAGAATTTTGGAAGGTTTGACTCTTGGTTCAGAGAAGACTTGCTTTTAAGAAGGAATTTTGTTCCTTTAAAGAAAGGTGAAATGCAAGTGAAAGCCAGATTGGGTGTGAGAACGTGGGCTGGCGGGTGGGAGAGGGGTCAGGGTGATGTCAGAGAGCAGGGAGGGGGTGAGGGGTGGAGGAGGGCCTCCAGGCGAGGGGGCGGTATGCCTCTGAAACTGGGGTCAAGGGAGCAGCTCTCTGTCCCCTCAAGCCCTCTAGGAGACAGGGAAACTCATCTACAGCTCACACTATGCGAACTTCGGTAAGAAAAACATTTCAGCTGTGCACGAGACATGTGGTCACACAGGCAGCAAAACAGAGTGTTCGGGAAATAACATTGACTCTTCCTTGTGCTGTGGGCTCTGACACTTTCCATTCTGCTCTGTTTTCTTCCTCCCTGCCTGCCTTTCTTTCCCAGTTTCCTTCTTTCTTCTATGTGACCAGCAAAGTTGATTTCAAGACGCACTTGTGAGCCTCCATCCCCACTGGCAGAACACAGGGACCATGGGAAGGGAGCCCACGTGTCCTGGGAGAGCCTACAGGGGCCACAACAGGACAGAGAGCCTGAGTTCTGCTTCTGCTCCCCCACCTCACTCCCTTCCTCCATTTCTATTCTTTTAAAAACAAGTCCAAGAAGACCAGATCACAGGAGTGATCTCACAAGCTTTCAGCCCACAGGACCCACCCATGTCTCTGGGGCGCTTGTTGTGACTGCATCCAGCGGCTCCCAGCCTCTCCTGGATGCTCTGATGGGTTAAGTCTCCAGTGGGCCTGGTCATGAGTGTTTGTGGCTACGGGCAGGCCAGCCAGGGATTCTCCAGCTAGGGCCAGCCCTCCTGTTTCGCTGATGAGGAAGGGAGGACTAGGGAGGGCAATACCTGGCCTGAGGTCAGGCCAGGGGCTCTGTCCGGGGGCAGGAGGCTGCAGTCGCGCTCAGCAGGACCCCCTCCCAACCTCTGCACCGTCCAGCAGGACCAGAGGAGGCCTCCACCCGAGAAGTCAGAGACCCGTCCCCATCACACAGCGAGCTAGGGGTCTCGGCTGCCACGGCCTGGCTTCCTGCGGAAAAGTCCGCTCCTGCTGCGGCTAAAGACGGAGCTGAGAGAAAGATGTCTACCCGCTGCCCAGCCCCCGTCGGTCTCTCTCGGGGCTGAGTGCGGCCTGGGGTCTGTGGGAAGGAGGGAGATGAGTCACCTCCGGCCACTCACTGTCGCTTGGTCCTCTGGGGGCGTGGGAGTGAGTGGGGGCAGCCACGAGGGTTTGCAGGCAGAGGTGCAAGAACCTCAGCTCTGATCGCCAGCACCGCTGCCCTGCACAGGCGTCGCCCTGCACACACGCCCCCCGCAGCCAGCGGCCCCAGCCGCGGGGAGGGGGCGCTCTGAGGTCCGCAGAGCAGGGGGCCCGGGGGCCCCACGTCTGCGTCAGGCTGGGCTGCCGGCCCCTCTCCGGCCCCGCGGCTCTCAGCTCGCGCAGCTCCTCTGTGGGGCTGCGGTTTGCCATTTCCTTCCTTCGCCAGTTAGAGCCAAAGCGGCCTCCCGCCCGGCTGCTGAAGATACCCTAACGAGTTGCCTAGAGCCGCAGGTCTTTTCAGGATCAAAGCCGCGGCGCCCGCCGGTCAGGGCCACCCCGCTTCTCCCGGTGCCCTCCCTTACCGCCCTTACTCTGCGGCGGACCCGCTCCCCAGCACCCCCTACTTCAGGTCCTGCAGAAATGTCACCTCCTCCCAGAGGCCCGCTGGGTGGTTTTTCAATTGTAACCGCACTCGGCTCCCGCCCCCTTTGCCCAGCCCGCACCTCCGCTGTCTGCTTGTGCACACAGCTCTCACCTTGAATTTCACTTCCTCTAGTGTACACTGTTTGTCTGTCTCCGCTAGCAAGTAAGCTCCTCGAGAGCAGGGATCTTTGTTTTGTTCACCGAGGTGCCCTGAGCCCCGGCAGAGCTCTTGGTGCTTAGGTAGCCTGGAGTGCGCACTGCTGAGTGAAGGAATGACTGAATGAGGGTGACTGCGCCCTGACTGATGCTCTGTCAGAAGAGGGAGCAGAGGGACGCTCATCAGCTTCTTGAACAGGCGCTTAAAGGAAACAGAGGAACCAGAAACCAGCAGTCTGGTGGGTAATTGGAGCTTCCACTGGGAAGCTCCCCACCCCGCCCCGCTTTACAGCATCTCCCCGTGAAGGGTGACGTCCCAACAATGACATCGGAGGGAGGATGACAGGCTCCTCTCTCTCTGTCCTCTAATGGCCCAGCTCGTTTGTTAAAAGTCTGTCTATCCTGTCACTCGGGCTTTCCCTGGTGGCTCAGATGGTAAAGAATCCGCCTGCGATGCGGGAGATCTGGGTTCGATCCTTGGGTTGAGAAGATTCCCTGGAGGCGGGTATGGCAATTCACTCTAGTATTCTTGTCTGGAGAATCCCATGGACAGAGGAGCCTGGTAGGCTACAGTCCATGAGGTTCAAAGAGTTGGACACGACTGAGGGACTTAAGCACAGCACAGCACATCGTCTCACTCGAATAAGTTGAGAGGTTCTGAGCAGGTTCCTGGGGAACGTGGCGAAGTTGGGGGGCGGGGGTTGGGAGCCTGGGGGATGATGAGGGAAGCAAGACGTGGTGGGGGCCGAGACTACTTTGCTAACTTAGCAATTTTGTTTTGGACCGAACTTGTGACCTTGCTGCAGTCACTTCAGCAGGAGGGTAGACTCCGGGTCCTTCCCAGAGGGCAACAGGCGCCATAGAGCTATTCCCAACGGGCCTCCGGCATTGGGGGCATTACCACGGGATACAGTGTGGTCACAGTGTGCTGCTCTGGAGATGAGGGAGCCTGGCTTCTGAGGCTGGCGTGTGTTGCTGGGGGAGGGTGCCTGCTGTGCAGGCCAGTCTTCGTCTCTGGGCCTCTGGGGCCCCGCGCGTAAAATGATGCGGGCGAGACCGCCTCTGAGCCTCCTGCAGCTGCCCCAGGTCTCTCGGGAACACGAGCCTGTCTGAGGACAGTCCCTGGGTCTCCTCAGTGGTGCTAAGGGAGGCTGGAGTTTACGGCTAGGGCGTGCCAGAGGTGCCGTCCCACTCTGCCCTTCCTGCCCTGGGGTTTGGAGATTTGCTAGTTTACAACATCCGAGGAATGAGAGGGTCCTGGCCAAGGCAGGCCTCTGGGCACGGGAGGGAAGTGCACTGAGGCTCTTGTCAGTGAATGGCTGACTCCTCCAGGTCTCAGAGATGGACTGAAGAGTCTTGATAGGCGTTGCTACAGGGATGTCAAAGCAAGAGTCAGGGGAGCTCAGCGCTGCAAATACTAGCACAGTAAAATACATTGCCGTCATGTCCTGATCTTAAGGCTGCTGGATTTCAGAGGAGGAGGAGCCGGTGTGAGCTGGCCAGTCCCCATGGAGGGGCTCTGAGCTAGAGCCAGGAGGCTGAGCCCATGCAGAGAGCGTCCTGGGCAGGAACAAGGGGATGCAGGTGGCAAGTTCTGTGAGAGAGTGAGGAGCAGAGGGAGGGGACTGGCTGGAGGCCAAAGGAGAGGCCAGCTAAGGTTGGCTCAAGTGCCTGGGGTCACACGGGCCAGGGAATCCTCGGGGCTCAGGGGAAGAGGGCTGAAGGTGGAGAGAGAGGATGCTTTTATCACCTTACCTGTCCCTTTGTCTTGTAGGATTCTCAGTAAGTTAAGTCAAGAAATCAACAAGAATGAAGAAAGAAGGAGCATTTTCACACGCAAGTGAGTGGGGCAGTCAAGTGCCCAGGGTCACTTGAATGAGATGCAAAGAATTTTCAAACTCAAGTCTAAATGGGAGTTACAGGACTGGTTTTGCTGTCATTTTTGATCTGCAATAATCTTCCAGTCCAGGGGTCCTCCCTCTCTGCCCTGCATCCTGCCCCTTGCATCAGGGGAGCTTCCCCTAGAAAGTCAGGTAGTCACAAGCTCCCAATTGTACCCCCAGTGTGCCTTCAGTGGTTTCCTGAGTTTTCGGGTAGCCTGGCCTGAGTTTCAAAGCAACAAGGACAGGAGTCCTAGGTGGTGAGAGATACCCTCCCCTGGGGACTCCTCTTTCAGGGCTGGACTAAGAGGGATATCTCCCCAAGTCAGTAGGGCCGTTAATGCCATGTTGCTTGCCTTTGCAGACCCCAAGTCCAGCGGTTTCCAGAGGAGACAGGTAAAGGTCTCTGGGGTGAGAACGATTGCTTTGGAGATGGGAGGCACTTCTGTTCTTCTGACTTCTGGTCCAGGTGGAGAGGAGGAGAGATATCACTCTGCCAGGCACCTGGCCATGATCCCCTTCCAACTGGGGCCTTCTGCACAGACCCAGGGAGGGATTTTGCGGGTGGTGCCTGGAACAACCTGGGTTTTGACTGAGCATCTGAGCACAGCTGGTCCTCCTGCTCCTGAGTCTTTAAAGCAATTATTCAGTTGTTAAACTCCACATCTTGTTAAAACGTAGATTCCTGGGTCCCCCGAGTTCCTGCAGAATCAGCAGCTCTAAGGATAGGGCCCGTCATATTTTGACGCTCTCTCAAGTGATTTTCACACATGTGAAAGGTTGAGAACCACCACCTCTGGTAGAATGAGCCCCTCAGGTAGGAAGTCGGGAGCTGACACTGAGTTGCTGACCCCCAAGTGTGCAGGATGAAGGTGGGGGTGGGGGAGGGCAGCAGGCTGGGAGCGGCTGACTTCCCTTCCGTGGCTTCAGTCGGCACTGATGGCGATCTTGTCTTCCTCTGCAGAGAGCCATGAGGAAGACAACGGAGGCTGGTCGTCCTTTGTGAGTATGCGGTGGGTCCTCTCGGCTTACAGCAGAGTCCGGAGGTCCTTTGGAGCAGGCCCTGACGGAGCCCCGCGGGGTCAGGTGTGCTCTGTGACCGTCAGAGCGTGGCTCTCTGGCTTTCCAGCCCTCATGGTCTCTGGTCTCGTCGCGTCCCCTCGCCCTCGGGGCCCGGGAGCAGCGGCTGAGGGCGCCTGCAGGAAAGGCTGGGCCCTGAGCCACTTGGTGACGACGCGATGGCGGGCTGGGCTCAGCTGAGGCCTGCGGGGCGCCGGGACCCCCACAGCAGGGCCCTCCCCCAAAGCCCTCCTCTCGTGGTCTACACTAGCTTTAAAGCAGCCTTTCTCATGGGCTTAAGTCCCCACTGGTGACACAGAGGGAAAGGGAGCTCAGAATGAACTATCAGCCCTCAAAAGACCTCAGGGATGGGACAGTCCAATTGGGTTTTATACTTGAGGGGTCATAATGACCCCTTTGAGAGTCTGATGAATTCTGTGCAGCTTCTCCCCAGAAAACTGAGTATATCATCACCACACTTGAAGCCAGACTCGGGCCAAGAAGTCTTTTATGGCTCGTAGCCCAGTCTGTTCTTTTTACAGAGGAAGCAGCTGAGCCCACTGCAGGACGTGACTTGTGTAGACCCCATGACTAGTTAGAGGCAGGCTGAGGATGCAGCTCGCCCACCCTTAGTCCAGGGGTCCTTCTGGTAAGTGGCTGCCTCTAGTGCCTTTAGGTAGCAGGCACTAAACACCCCTGTTCTACTGGGATTCTGGTAAAAGCAAGCACTGAATTTGAAAAAATAAAAATAAAAAACCTGCCAGCTAAGTATGTTCTTTTTACATGAGAACAAAGGAATGTAACAGATTAATTTTGTTCCCAAGGGACAATAGAGCAGAGTTTCCTCCCAAATATTTACGTTTTCACATAGACTCTGTATCTTAGCCACTGCTTGCCGTGCAGTTCCTCCTGTGAGCTCAGTCTGAGGCTGGCGTCCTCCATGCTGTCTTCAAACAGGGAGTCCCCCCCAGCTGCTGCTACGACACTCGGGCTTCTGTGAAGTGCCCAGCACTGCACAGGGCTCTCGGGCGGTGAGGATAAATGACCCTATGACCATTTTATATCTTGGAGAACACACACACAGATCAAAATGTGATTTGGAACAAAAACATACATAGGAATATATGAGCCGAATCACTGGAGAAACTAGTTGTTCTAGAAGCAAAGAGGAAAAGTCTATTGTTGAGAAAGGCTGATAAGGTAAAGGCCCGTTGGGAAGTCAGGAGCCATGGGTCTAGGGTGTGCAGGCTGAGAGATGGTAGGGAGGCCCTGCAGGCCTAAGGGGCAGTCAGCAAGGCCTGGAAAGGTGCTGAGGCTGTGGTTCTTAAGTCTCTCCCGTCCATCATCCTCTGCTCTCAAGTTGTAGTGACCTTGATGGCAGGACCAAGTCTTTTTTGTGTTCAGGAAGATGAAGTCAAGCTCATCTTGGCTTCCAATTGTATATGTACTGAACTATATATCTGTATAGGAATATATATGTGTATAGGAATATATGTCTGTATAGGAATATATATATACACACATATGATATGTGCTGTGCTGTGCTTAGTCACCCTGTCAAGTCCGACTCTTTTCAACCCCATGGACTGTAGCCCGTCAGGCTCCTCTGTCCATGTGGATTCTCCAGGCAAGAACACTGGAGTGGGCTGCTGTGCCCTCCTCCAGGAGATCTTCCCGACCCAGGGATCGAACCCAGGTCTCCCACATTCAGGCAGATTCTTTACCGTCTGAGCCACTAAGAAAGCCGGAAGAATACTGGAGTGGGTAGCTTATCCCTTCTCCAGGCGAACTTCCTGACCCAGGAATCAAACTGGGATCTCCTACGTTGCAGGTGGATTCTTTACCAGCTGAGGTACCAGGGAAGCCCATAGGATATATATGTCAAAAAAAGGCTGTATTCTCACCCAGAAAATTCCATGGACAGAGGAGCCTGGTGTGTCGCAGAGTCGGACATGACTAAATGACTGAACACACACATCTCTCAGTTAAGCTCCTTAGACAGTCTTCCTTAAGCCACCCAGCAACGCCATCAGGATTTCTAGGTTCTAGTGAGCACCTTTCCTCACCAAGTTGCAACCTCCTGCTGCTTCTCTCTGCACCCCCTTGACTTTAGAGAAATGCCCAGGGCTCAGTTAGGACCCACATGACTTTGGCCTGAGCGTGATAAGCCCATCATTGCTCGGCAGCTGATGGTGTCAGGAAATCATGACTATAACTGTCCACTTTCATGGGCTGTTTCAAAGGCAATCACCCAGCCCCTAGAGCTTACTTTCCCTGAGACCTCCTGAGAAACAAATATAAACTACCATTAAAAAAAAACTTAAAATTTAGAGAGTCTCTTCCAAGAGAGCTAGCTGTCACAAATAATAAGCTGTTGTCTCTGTACACCCAACTCTTAGCAGAGACTAGCCCAACCCTGACTACCCCCTCTCAGGTACAACTTAGCCTGCCTTCAGTTAAGGGGCTTTGGTTGTCTGATTTTCCCATCAGCGTGGCCTTGGAGGCTGTGCCAGGTTATGATGAGGAAAGTTTTGAGTATAGGCACCCCGAGAACGGAGCTTCCCAGGTGGCACAGTGATAAAGAATCCGCCTGCCAATGTAGGAACCTCAGGAGAGGTGGGTTCTACCCCTGAATCTGGAAGATCCCCTGGAGAAGGAAATGGCAACCTACTCCAGTATTCTTGCTGGGACAATCCTATGGCAGGCCCCTGTCCATGGGGTCACAAAGAGTCGGACATGACTGAGTGTCTGAATGCACACCCTGAGAACAGAACTGGCAATTAACCAGGGGTATCATAAATGCTCCTGGTTTTAGTTTTCCTCTTGGTGATGCTTGAAGTGCAAAGTGTGTTTTTATTCAAACATAGTAAGTGGACATAGGTTGCTGTGTCCACCTCATTTCTTCTGCTTTTGCCTGCTGTGCAAAGAAATATAGGGGGAAAATGCACTTGCCTAGGGAGTCTGAAGACCTTGACTGGGTCCTAAGATGGCAGCTTGCTGGCCACGTGAATTTGTACTTCCTGAGCTCAGCATCTTCATCTGGAAAGTGGGAGGAAACAAGTGGGGACCACTGTGAGGCCTGGCAGAGAGACAGTAGATGTGGGCACGCCCACTACCAAGGAGCCTCTACACACCATACTGCCCCATCATGCTGTTGGCAGGAAGAAGATGACTATGAAAGTCCCAATGACGATGCAGATGCGGAGGATGACGGTGACTATGAGTCCCCCAATGAAGAAGAAGAGGCACCTGTGGAAGATGATGCCGATTACGAGCCGCCACCCTCCAACGATGAGGAAGCTCTGCAGAACTCCATCCTGCCTGCCAAGCCTCTGTCCAACCCCAACTCCATGTACATAGGTAAGGGCCCTGGAGCCCAGCCCCCAGCCCCACTGATGCATGGGAGGCCAACCCCCATGCAGCAGAAAGCGTTTCGTGCTGATGCCAACTGACCGGCTGTGTGACTTTGGGCAAGTAACTCCACCTCTCTGGGCCTCCGTTTCCTTATCTGTGAAATAGGACAATAATAATACAGGCCATAAAGGTTTGCTGTGAAGTTTAATATTTGTGATTTTCAGCCAAGCCGTTGCTAGTGGTGGCTGATATCAGGACTGAGCTGCTGCTTGAGGGCATTTGGAAGGATCAGTTTATTTTGTGTGCTCCTTTGATACTTAAGTACTTCCCTGTTCCTCCCTGTCTTGGACCAATTCATGATTATGTGGCACTACTACCGACAGACTGTCAGGATAAAAACAACAATATTGAATGTAGTTTGCCCGTAACTTTAAACATTTTCAACAGTATTTAAGATTTTCATTCTTCACCTGTTCCTGTCAGCACATTTCTCCCTTGCTCATTTATTCATTCATCCATTCAACAAAAATTATTGGTCTCCTGTTATCCAGGAATCATTTTAAATGTTGAAATTCAAAATTATCTGGAAAGAAGACACAGCCCTTGCTTCACAGGGCTTACATCCTACCAGAGGTGGTAGCAAAAAATAGCCACATACACACTTGCATAACATCAAATAGTAAGCCAAACAGTTGATGATCAGCACCACAAACATTAATGCCACGAATCCTTTAGGCTGTAGAACACTTGGCAATTTTAAAGTCATTTCAAATTTTGTCAGCATTTCATGTTTTGAAGCACCCTGTATGATATAGATGACAATTACCAAGCCTGTTTCATATTTAGGGAAACTGAGGTCCAGACAATAAATAGGTAACTGACATTGAGTGTCCCATGCACGCCAGTGATGAGCAAACAGAATGAATGAGACAGTAGACAGTCCTCACCCTAAAGAATTCACAATTCAATCGGTGAGGCAATGAAATGATTGAATTAAACCATGATATATACTCAGGGAGACGCTCGTGGGAGCCAAGGCTGAGGCTATTCCTAGTCCGGGCTTGCTTCCCTGAGGACATGATATTTCAGTTTCAACTCAAAGGATGAGCAGGAGCTGTCTAAGTGGGGGTGGAGGTGTAAAGGCAAAGCACTCTGTGCCGTAGTGATGGCCGAGCAAAGGCACTGAGGCTGGAAGAAGGGCAGAGGGGCTGGGAGACGGCTGGTGGGTGTGCAGGTGTGAGGGCAGAGGGGCTGGGAGACGGCTGGTGGGTGTGCAGGTGTGAGGGCAGAGGGGCTGGGAGACGGCTGGAGGGTGTGCAGTGTGAGGGCAGAGGGGCTGGGAGATGGCTGGTGGGTGTGCAGGTGTGAGGGCAGAGGGGCTGGGAGATGGCTGGTGGGTGTGCAGGTGTGAGGCTAGGCCAGGCTCGCCTGAGGTCTGAGCCCATTCCCTGTGGAGGAGCGCCGCCTCCCCAGGGCTGAGACTGGGTGAGGCAAAATAGGTCAGGGCAGAAAATGCAGGAATACGCACAGTCCTGGCCCGGCCTTTCTCTGTCAAAGAGGCAGAACACTGTGAGTCTGTCAGCCTGCCTGGGTATGCTTCTGTGAGGATCAGTGATGTGAGTTTCTGTTCAGAGCCTGTGGTTTGGTCACAGGAGCCGGTGACTGCCTCCTCCCTTCAAGGAGGGAGGAAGTGGGAGGGGAGGACAACGCAGAGCACTGGTGAGGGAAGGGAGGGGACCTAGTGCAGGGTGCTCGTGAGCCATGACAGGGGGCTTGACCTTGCCCAGGCGGCTGGGTGTGCCTGCGTGTGTGGGTCTGCATGGCATGTACATGTGTATACCATGTGTGTGCAGCTACACGTGCCCATATATGTAGGGGCATGTATGTTTACTTCTCTACAGTTTTGCCTGAAAACACTCCCTCATGGTGCTGGCTGAGTTCATTATCAAGAGGCTTTTTTTTTAAATGCCTTCATCACCAAAACCCCTGATAAATGCTCAGTCCCCAGAGGTGAGGTGAGAGCTGCTTCCAAGTAAAAGAGTGAGATGAACGGGCAGGCACAGAGAAGGCAAGGGGCCAAGGGCGCCCCGCCCTGTACGACCCAGGTGTGGGCACATCTCTGCCACGCGTCTGGCGATGCACCGGGCCGGTGGCCCCACTCACCTAGACGCAGAATTTCTCCTTCCATTTGAATGCCTTTATTTCCACAGACCGCCCCCCCACTGGAAAAGTGCAGCAGCCGCCGGTGCCCCCACAGAGGCCGACCGTGCTCCCTCCTCTGCCCGCGGGCGGCCGGACCCACCAGGTAGGCGCCGTCCTTTCTCTTATCTACCTTGTGTCCACTTGATGACTTCCTCTGTAGGCAGGACAGACTGTAGACATCTGCATCCAACTGCAGCCAGTAAGAAAAAATTATATGCAGGCTGGGAAACTCCTACCCAAGTACAGTGGGCTTTTGTGGGGGTGAAATGCTAGTGGTTTTTATACACAGCATCGTGTTGTTTATCACTGGTATTTTCTCTTTATCATAAACGATACAAGCTGTTTATATAATTAAACGTTTCCTTCTAATATTCATTTTGCTATTATTTCCCACTTTTGAAATAAGTGAAAACTGTAAAATAAAATCTAAGAGGGATAAGTAAATGACCCCTGCTAGTATTTGGGTCCTAGGCCTTCTCTCTCCTGAGAAAAGACTTGCACCACCTGCTGGCCAGCACCTGAGATTCCATGGACAGAAAGCTTGGGACCAAAATGTGCTGTGATGAATCCAGGGAGAGGGGCAGCAACCCCCTGCTCCTCTTTCTTCAAGCTTACAGTTCCAGATTCCATGGATCTAATTAAGTAACAGGCACACCTCATTTTGTTGCATTTGCTTTATTGCACTTCACAGATACTGTGTTTTTAATAAATTGAAGATTTGTGACAACCCTGCCTTGCCAGATGATGGTTAGCATTTTTAAGCAATATTTTAAAATTAAGATATGTATGTTGCTTTATTAAACCTAATACTATCACACACTTAATAGATTCCAATATAAATGTAGCTTTTATATACAGTGGAAAATAAAAAAAAATGTGACTAGTGTTGATGAAAATCCAATTAACAATCAAACTAAGAAGATTAAAAGATAATTTTATTCTAACGTGGGGGACAGACTCTCAGAAGTGCTGAGAACTGCTCCTCCAGTCAGGAGCTAGAGATTCAGTTTCACATGTTTTTGAGAGAAAGACTCCTGTGTCATACTCACAAGTTAACATTATACACAAAGTTTACCAGAGCTGTTTTGGCCAGGTGTGCACGGAGAGTAAGCCTTTAGGTCAGTGCAACCCCCTGACAGGATGAGAAAGAAATACTAAACTTAAAAATCACAGTGATGGTATCAGAAGAAAGGGACCATTTCCCCCCAAATTTGTTTATATCCTCCTGTCTTGAGGAGGTCTGGTTAATGCAGATATATATTGCACAGTAGGAAAGGCCCATCACAAATGGGCACATACTGTATGTGTTTCAGTTCTGAGTTGGTCTGATTATCCTGCCATAGAGAAATTTATGATTTTCCTATTCACTAGCCTTATTTTGATTTTTGCTTTATTGTGGTGGTCTGGAACCAAACCCCCATTATCTCCGAGGTCTGCTTGTATCCAAAGAGACCCAGAGAAGTTCAGGCTCAGGAGTCCACAGCTGGAAATGTGCTCTCTCCACAAGGGACTGCAGCACTCGGACAGCCGCTGTGAATGCCAGGTCTCAGGACTAAGGGACCCAGAGGATGCATTTTCCCCAAAGTTCAAAATCCAGACCATGCCACAGTTGGGACACTCTGTCTAAGAACAGATGGCTTCCTCCTGCTTTTGCAGTTTTATTACAAAGGGAGCTCATGGAGCTGAATTTATCTACATATGGGTTTTGCTCTTGAAATCTGCAGCTCACTCTTGGGATGCAGAATTTCATTCATTCCATCTGTGGATATTTACTGAGCAGCAGCGCCCAGCAGTGTTCTGGGAATAGAGCATGAACAAGACAAATAAGGTCCCTGTTCCATAAAATTTTCATTTGGGTTGGGGGAGATGAATAATCAGCAAGTAAAGAGATGCATAAACAGGGTAGCTTGAGTAGTAATATGTAGTTAGGGAGACAGAAGACCAGGGGACGTGATGGTAGGTGGAGAGGCGACATTGAGCTGGACAGTGTGAGACAGTTGTGGTGAGAGCTGGGAAAAGAATGTTCCAGGCAGAGGAAGATACAAGTACGCAGATTCCGAAGGTGCACAAGCATGAGGTTTTGCAGGAACCGCAAGAAGGCACTTAGGGTGAGAGCCCAGTGCGCCCTGAGAGAGGAGCACGCAAAGGTGATGGAAGGAGTCAGCCCAGGCAGGGCCTTGCAGGCCACGGTGGGCTCAGTTTCGTCCCTAATGTGATCGGAGCCACGAGAAAGCTTGGCAGAGCAGTGACATGCAGAAGATGCTCTCCCAGAGTGTGGAACAGGGCTCCGTTCACGTGAGACATGGACAGGTACCCGTCCATGGGATGGAGAAAAGTGAACAGATTCAGACCTATTAGGGGGATAAAGCTCTCAGGGCTTGCTGACGGGTGGGCAGTGCTTCCTAACACGTGGATTTCTGTTAAAGCAGCCGCTACCCCCACCCCAGCCCAACCACGAGGAGCCGAGCAGAAGTCGGAACCACAGAACGGCCAAACGTGAGCATGGGGCCACCCTCTCTTGCCCACCTGCCCACCTCCCCTGGCCCAATGCTCTTCTCTGTGAATTGACTTCAGTCTCTTTCCCTTCCAGTCCCTGCTCCTTCCATAGACAGAAGCACGAAACCAGCCCTAGATCGTTCATTAGTTCCATTCGACAGAGAGCCCTTCACTCTAGGTTGGTATCTTTCATATTTGTTGCTCAATAATAGTGGCCAAGAAGAGTTGGACATGGATTGGCAGCTGAATAACAGCAATGACAACAACAATAGTGGTTGACGGGTGACTCAGCTGGTAAAGAATTCACCTGCAATGCAGGAGATCTGGGTGCCATCTCTGGGTCAGGAAGATCCCCCGGAGAAGGGAATGGCTACCCACTCTAGTATTCTTGCCTAGAGAATTCCATGGACAGAGGAGCCTGGTGGACTACGATCCATGGGGTCGCAAAGAGTTGGACATGATCAAGAGACTAGCAACACAAAAACAATAGTGGCCGACATTAATGCGTGCTTACTGCGTGCTTCTCACGGGCACCACCTCATTTAACTGCCGCCACAACCCTATGGAAAGGGGACTGTTAGAGTCAGCCTCATTGTGCAGAGGAGGAAACTGAGACATGAAGAGGTACTTCCCAAAGGCACTCAGATGCCAGGTGATGGGGGTGGAGACCCAAGCTCAGAGCTCCTGTCCTTCACCCTGTGCTGGGCTTGCTTCTCCACGGGGTGCCATTTGTGCACACACGCCCATCACATGGCCTCCTGAAGGATGATGGGGAAGCATCTGGGCTAAGAGGCAGAGGCCAGGGAGGGCTGTTCGCTGCCTCCTGAGCAGCTCACTGACCACAGGGATGTTGCTTTTTCAGAGCTGTCTCCTTATGTATAAGGTGGATGCTCTATAATGAGAAAATACTTTGTGAAACTCTAAGGTGCTATTCAGATGTCAGAGTCGTCTTCTGTTGCGTGTATCATTGACCAAACTGTGGGTATACTACAGTCCTTTCCTCCAGAATTGATTCAGAGTGTTCTTGGGTGGCAGCTACCTCTACTTAAAGCTATTTTTAATTCAGTTCTAAAACTTAGCTACAGTGTATTGAGCACCTACTATGGGGCAAGTGCTTTAGCCACCACAAATAAATTATCTCTGGGTGTCTTCAGGAGGGACTGATTCCAGGATCCCTGTGGATATGAAAATCCAGGGATACTCAAGTCCCTTATATAAAATGGTGTAGTATTTTCATATAACTTCTGTATATCCTTCCATGAACTTTAAGTCATCTCTAGATTACTCATAATACCCAATACAATATAAATGCTATGTATGTAGTTGTAAATACAATATAAATACACCTACATGGTTGCCAGTACATGGCAAATTCAAGTTTTGCTTTTTAGACCTTTCTGGAATTATTTTTTCCAGATATTTTTGATCTGAGGTTGGTGGGTATGGAATCCATGATATGGAGAGTTACTTCTACATTGTCTCTAGTCCTCACCCCAGGTCCACAAAGGGAGGTGTATTATCATCCCCACTTTGCAGATGATAAAGAGGTTCAGAGAGGTTGAGTTAATTTCCCAAAATTGCAGAACTAGGTGCAGGATTTGAATTCAACTTGGATTTGAACCCAAGTCTTTTCTGACTTCAAAGTGGATGCCCTGTTCTACCACGTCTTGCTGCAGTTGGAGATCCTGGACTTTCCTTGCTGGGGAGCTCTGGAGAAGGAGTTCTGAGCCTTGAGGGATAAGGAACCTGGAATCCAGCCCCACCCTAGCCCTTCTTTAGCTACATAGTGAGCAAGGCATTTAGCCTTTGTGGCCTCTGTCTCCTCTTCTGTAGGCGAAATGTCAGTTCTTGGATTTGATGCTATGCTTGCTACAGTTTCCCTGAACTGTTCCAGGTAGATGTATCACCACTCCTACAGGGTGCTGATTGAGCTGGGAGGTGGATGGAGGGGAAGAAAGAGGAGCTATCTAACAATTCTCAGCACCCACAGGTCATTGCTGGCCCTGCATATATATTGTCACCTGATCCTTAGAGCAGACCTACACAGTTTAACATGTAATTCCCATTTTACAGGTGAGGAAATTGAGACTCAAAAATTTTAAGTAACTTGCTCAAAATCATACAAGATTTGCATCTAAACCTGGCTGAATCCAGTTAACTAGTGCTTTTATTACACTGAAGACATAGGATATTACTCTGGGGAACTTTGGATGGAAGAAAAAGTACATTGTTTTGAATGACTTTGCAATGCACGGTTCTCAGGTACACCTAGCATTTCTTTTTTTTTTTTTTTAGGTTTCTAAATGGACAGTTTTTATTTTCTTTCAGTATATTAAAGTCATTCCATTTTTCTTTTTTTTTTTCTGACTTGCCTCTTTTTTTTTTTCCCCATTTATTTTTATTAGTTGGAGGCTAATTACTTTACATCATTATAGTAGTTTTTGTCATACATTGAAATGAATTAGCCATGGATTTACATGTATTCCCCATCCCGGTCCCCCCTCCCACCTCCCTCTCCACCCGATCCCTCTGGGTCTTCCCAGTGCACCAGGCCCGAGCACTTGTCTCATGCACCCAACCTGGGCTGGTGATCTGTTTCACCCTAGATAATATACATGTTTCAATGCTGTTCTCTTGAAACATCCCACCCTCGCCTTCTCCCAGAGTCCACAAGTCTGTTCTATACATCTGAGTCTCTTTTTCTGTTTTGCATATAGGGTTATCGTTACCATCTTTCTAAATTCCATATATATGTGTTAGTATACTGTAATGGTCTTTATCTTTCTGGCTTACTTCGCTCTGTATAATGGGCTCCAGTTTCATCCATCTCATTAGAACTGATTCAAATGAATTCTTTTTAATGGCTGAGTAATATTCCATGGTGTATATGTACCACAGCTTCCGAAGCTGTGGTACATATACACCTAGCATTTCTTCAGGAAGCCTACACGTCATCTGTTACAAGAGAAAAGTAAAAGAAGAAAAGGAAGGGAGGGCAGGAGGGAAAGAGAGGGAGACAAGAAAGAAAGAGAAAGACAAAAGCCAAGCAAAGTGATTTGCAACCCGCCGGAAGAATCTCCTGAAACTCTGAACCCCACACTAAATTTTTTCAGGAACTAAATGCAATACCTTATGCAAGGGCGAGTGTACCACAGGGCTGAAAGGAAGATTGACCCCTCTGTGGCAAATGAGTTTATTTCAGATATGCAAATAAACTTAGGCTGTACAAAGCAGCTCTTGGCCAATGAAAGAGGCACAAAATTTCAAGAAGGCGTTAATCCTTTTCAGCATCAATTATATTAAAACATTTTGGAAAGAAGCTCAGAATTCACAATACTGCTTGCATGTACACAACACTGTGTTATGCTTGGGTGAAGTCGCTTAATTTGTCTGCAACTATAAAATTAGGTGCTCTTGTAAGGGACCCTCCAGGTCTAAAGCCTATGATTCCTCAACATGTTGTGTGTGTTAAGTCACTTCAGTTGTGCCCACCTCTTTGTGACCCTATGGACTGTAGCCTGCCAGATTCCTGTCCATGGGATTCTCAAGGCAAGAACACTGGAGTGGGTTGCCATTCCCTGCTCCAGGGGATCTTTCTGACCCAGGGATCGAACCCGAGTCTCTTAGGTCTCCTGCACTGGCAGGCAGGTTTTTTCCACTGGGGCCACCGGGGAAGCCCATGACTCCTCAATGCTTAAACCCAATTATCCCTCCTAGCTGCTGGGATTCAGCTTCCTCAAAAGTTTCAAGGCTTAGCTGTTACATTCAAGGCTTATCTGCTCTTTGTCATTTACAGGAAAGAAACCAGCGATTTCTGACAAGGTGAGTTTTCTCCTGTTTTGTTTTGTTTGCTTTTTCTCTGTTTTGTATCTTGTCTTTGTTCTGTGGAAAGTGCCAAGAATGCTCACATATCTTCCCTCTTGCCTTGCAGCCCTCGGTCCTAGGGGGAAGGTGAGTGACTCTGTGTGTTGGTACAGGGCGTGTGCTGTATGACTGTAGTTTGTTTCTCATCCATCCTTTCTCTCAACACTGCAGGCCTCCTGGGGAGCATTTGCCCAAGATACCAAAGCCCCCGTTACCGCCAGCCACGGAGAGGCAGGACAGAGGCAGCCCCCTGCCAGGGAAGAAGCCGCCTGTGCCAAGGTAAGCGGCTCCTGCAGCTTGGGCTGTGGCGCAGAAGGGCTGACGTGAACTCCTGCCTCGTGTCAGTTAGCTCCACGTAGGGACCCAAGACCATGGCGCTCCTGGGTGGGAGTGGGCTCGTTGCGCCACTGGGGGTTGAGGGGTGTTCAGGCTTCTCAGGCTGGATGTCGAGCACCTGGGTCACTTTACAGGACAAGGTGATCTAGCAGAGAGGCGTAAACAGATGGTTCCTCTGGAGCACAGGGACACCACCATCTGTGGAGACCTTCTCAAGCAGTCTGATTTTTGGTTGAATTTTCCTTCCACCACAAGGTGCAGCATTGCACCTACCATTTTATAACCATGCAGGCAGTAGAGAGGACGTCACTGTGGCCGCTTTGAGGTCTCTGTAAGCAGCTTCCTCACTGCTCAACCACATTTTATAGTGGCAGGGCACCTGTCAGCTCTAACATTTCTAACTTTACTATGCAGTCTCTGGGGACCTATTAACTAAATGGCACAAATATCGCTGGGGTAGGCCCAACTCTGTTCCCCACTAAGGACAAAACCAAGGCTTCCATCAACCTCATCTGTGCAACCAGGATTCAAAATTATGACCCTTGCTTGGCTAATGTGAGGATGAAATCAGGGCCAGGGCTAGGATGCACAGGTAAAACCTTAGCAACTGAGTTAATGTTTTAATGGTATATTCTAAAAAATCAAAATGTATGTCAAAAATATCATAGTGAACAAAATAGCAAAGTTTTAAATAAACAAGATGAGATCATGTGAATCACTGATCAGGAGGCAAATTGCCAGCAAACTGTCCTCCTCGGGCCCTCTCTGTGAGGACACGACGCGAGCCTATGAAGGCTGCTGCCCACCATGGGTCTAAGGCCACCACCACCACATCTGCCTGGCCAGTTTGTGCCTCTGGCAAAGGGACCAAAGCAGCAGCTTTTCCCAGCTGTCTTTCCTTCACACCAAGGGTGAGCCCCACGATGGCTGTTCTCAAACATCAGCAAAGGAGAATGTTTCCTCAAATGCTTATATTTGCTTGGAGAAACATCCACTCAGTGAAACTTAATAGCTGCCAGTAAAGTCCGGGAGTTTGTGTTGGACAGGGAGGCCTGGCGTGCTGCGATTCACGGGGTCGCAAAGAGTCGGACATGACTGAGCGACTGAACTGAACTGAACTGAAAGAGTTTGCTGACTGAGCCTTTTTCCTTTAGTGTAATTATTCGCTGCAGTTGCTAAACAGAGTAGAGGTTTGCCTAGCTCAGCTTACAGTAATGACAGAACATTGAGTCTTCAAGCTTCTCTCTCCCCTGCTTTTCTTCTGGGTGTTTTGAGTTTTTTTTTTTTTTGCTTCCCATTTTATTACAGCTCAGTAGGTTTGATTTCTCGATATTAGATTAAGTGAAACTGTTTATATTCTTTGAAACTCTTTATGCTCAGTTCTTTTTCTTTGCCCTGGTTCATTTCAGGCATATGCGGGGACCAGAGAGAAGAGAAAATGTAAGTACAGAGTGTCATTTGGTGAATGCTTGGCCCAGGGAGACCAGTGCAGACTCTGCAGAGGTTGAGACTCTGTCTCAGCCTTCACTGAAGTCCAGTGCTAGAAGCCAGGCCTATGCACAGTAGACTCCTGAATACTGGTGTCTTTTGGGGTCTCCAGCTTTCCCTCCTGCCCCAAATGCTGCATGGCTTAGCTCCTGTCCCTCTGAAGGTTCCTAGGGAGGCTGGGTTAAATGCAACCCCATTACCAGGCGGTGGTGAGCAAGGGGAGTGGCAAGTAGGTAGAAGGGAGGATAAAGTAAGAGGTGCTCCAGAGTCTGGGCCTCCCAGAAAGTCTCTTAGGCCTCTGTTTTCCCCTTAAATACCTCTATGACCTAAGAAAGAGTGTTTATGGAATGTATATTGTGTACATGTTGCCAACCTAGCTACTTTTGACTGACTGTTTGCCTAAGACTGCTCAGTTTTAGCAATGAAAGTCTCATGTCCCAAGAACTTCATCAATCTTAGGTAAATGAGGACCAAGACAGTTAGTCACTCCAACTTTACCTTTGCTTTGCATTGTCTATCACTAGGAGGAGTCATTGTTTCTCTTTCACTAATAAGAAATTGAAGTTTAGAAGGGTAAGATACTCATTGCAAATTGCACAGCTGGGAGATAGCCAGGATTGAAATCCAGGTCTGTCTGACTTCCTCTGTACTGTAAACTGCCCATGCATGTTCAAGGACTCAGTCTATAGATGCCTGCTGTTTCATAGCTCTGGGCTAAATGGTATGCTTATTCTGATGAAGTGCTAAAACATAATGGAGATATAATGCAGATAAAGCGCTAAGATATTAGATGTAATGGATATGCTCCAGTGTGCTAAGGGGCATATGATCACAGGATGAGCTACAGAGGAGAAGTGAAGAAAGTGATGTATAAGGGTTGAAGAGCGAAGTGTGACTTCTTAGTGATATGGTCACTGAATGATGGGGAAGACACAGGGTAGCCGCCCCGAGGAAAAGCTCAGTGCCCTTCGGCCTCAGGAATGTCCTGACTAAGGCAGGTGGGTGGCAGTGCCCATGGAGCCTGCGGGAAGAGTGAGCACAGTGGTTTGGTCTCAGAGCCATAGGGACAGAGGAGAGAAGGTTGAAAATGAGGATACTGTCATATTCCCAAGGATCCCTATCTCTGTAAGGAGTGACACTTGTTGTCATGAGAACCTAAAAATCTTATGTTTTGGACCAGAGGAGACTTGGCTGCAGCAGTGTCAAAGACCAGTTTCATTCTGGGGATTCCATAAGCCCATGTGTATTTATTTATGCCGCCCTTTGCTAGGACTCATTCCCAGTTGGCCAACCTGGATGAGTGATTCTGGCTATGGTCCATCTTGCCTCATCTCAATGGTAGGGCTAAGAATAACAGAATTTTATAGAGCACTCAAATATACCAGGCACAAGTAGTAACTAATTTAATCCTCACAACAACACTTGAGGAGGGTGCTTGTTCATCACTACTGTCCTAGCCTAACAAGTCCAGGTTGACAATTCTGGTCTACTAGTCAATGGCAAAATTATTTTTGCCTCTCTGAACATCATTTCCTATCTAAGGAGTAGAACATAGAGCCCCCTCCCTTATCTATTTCAGAAGGCTGTCCTAAAGATAAATGTGCTGAACCGAGTGGACACACCTTGGAAGCTATTTTCAAATCAGTAAGGCTGTATAAACTTGGACAAACTCTGGGAGATGGTGAGGGAGAGGGAAGCCTGGCATGCTGCAGTCCATGGTTGTTGTGAAGAGTCAGACACGACTTGGTGACAGAGGAACAAGGCTGCAGTGCTTTGAACCAGAGTGGTCAATACAAAGCAAAGACCCAGAGAAGGTTAAGCTTTGGGTCAGAGGGATTAGGTGTGAATCAGTTTTTGTAACCCTTGGCAAGTTAGGCGAGCTTCCTGGGCAGCGTGTTTTCAATTGTAAAATGAAAATGTTAAATTCTTGAAGAGTTGCTTGAAGAATTGGATGAAATATTGCATATGAATCTTTGGGAGACATAGTAGATATCATCATTATTAGTATCTCTAGGCCCGTTTAGACATTTCAGAACCTATTTAAGTATATAAAGACTGTTTCAGATCGGAATTTCTTTAAATGATTATTTGTATTAAGGAATCATAAATTATTTAGCAAGTTCTGCTGTTCTCCATAGTACCTTTATTGTGGAGACACACAACTGCTAAAGAAAGAAAACAGAGGCATTTCTATGATTGAGAAATGCATTTTTCTTTGAGAAATTGTGTTTTGATGATAAATTAATATCTCTTTTTTCCTCCCCCTTACCAGGATGAAGATGATGGTATGTTTAGAAAGACTTTCTTATGACTTGTAACCTTTCCTTTAGTTTTCTGCTCAGGGATTCAGATGGAATTAGTTAGTATAGAAACTCTGTAGAATCCATTATAATTGTAAAATTAGTATTAAGCATATGTATGCCAGTTGGTATACTGTATAACTATAATAAAATGGAATTACTTGGCTGGATTACCAAAGAGAACTGCTAAGTTCATGCATAACAGTGCAAATTATTAATACTTACTAAGTACAGCAAAATTGAAAATCACACATACAGTATGATAGACAGCATTCCAGTATTTAAGCTCTCTAATGCATTTGGGTAAAGGATTACTCACCGTTTAAGAATGACATAGCATAAAATTTGTCTTTCATTAAAAAAAAAACTTGTGAATCATTTCTGAAATTCATATGGTTTCTAACTGACAATTTTCTGCCAAGTTAACATTTCAAAAATGAAAAAAAAGTGTACTATGGAGAATGATGCCTAATGGCAGCATTTGAACCTGTGTTCTGAGGTGGTAAATCATGTGAAAAACCTTGTGTGGTGGGCATCCACCCCACCACTTCCTAATGACATTTGATCTTTTGAATTTTTGTATCTCCCTTTACACTAGCTATTTCTAACCAGGGAGTAGTTTGGGGGATGTATGTTCCTGTGACTCTTGGATCTGACCATTTTTCCTTTTTCTTTTCCTCTGAAGTACATCAAAGACTTCCGCCCCAGCCAACACCTCTCCCCATGACCTCCAACACCTTCCCTTCAAGATCTACGAAGCCATCGCCCAAGAACTCCCTCCCATTAACTCACTCATCTGGAGGCTTCTCAGAAAGGTGTGTGCTGAACCATTCAGTTCTGACCTAGCATGACGTCTGGGGCCACTGATATTGAGCTAATGTCAGCTGGGTTGAGGAAAAAAAGAAATAAGCCACCAGTCTTAGGGTCAGAACATTTTGGGTCTTAAGAAAGAAAGCCAGACTGAGCATGAAGAATGCACAAATGCACATATAACTCACTGCTGTCCTCTGAGTGCTGTGCCTGGGGAGGATGTCATGGCCCCAGACAGAATGGACTCTTTGGCAGGAAGCAGGGAATGTTTTTAACTCTGTAGGTTAAAAACAAAGAAACAAACACTCAAGAAGCCCAATTAATTACTTGGAGTTCACCCTTCATCTTGGATGCGACCACCCATCCAATGCACCTTGCACTTAGCAGACATGGAATAGTCAGTGTATGGGCTCTGTCCCCAGCAGGTCTGTTTTCTCAGTAGCAAGAGTGTTTCTCAGGGCCCGTGAGGAGGCAGGCTTTCCAGGAGAGGCACAGACAGGGGGAAGACTCAGGGCATGTCTCATAAATAAGCCCTCAGGCTGTCTCCTGGCACCCCCGAGGGTTCACCCACCAGCCTTTGGGCTCCTCTTTTCCTTTACTACCCAAAGGGAGAGGCCTAGTCCCTCCCCTGAGGATGGAAGGAAACTCACCCACCAGCAAGATCCTTCCGGTCTGCTAGATATCTGGAAGGATTCCCAGTTTTTTTTCATGTACCCCGGGTTCCTCTTGCTCTGATTTTCTGCTTCTTCTTCTCACTCTTCTGGTTGTTTTTCTTCTTCTGCCACGTCTGCCACTTTCTTATGCCACCTCATCCCACCCTGAGCCCAGCCCTATCCTTCGTTCTTTCAAAACACCACTCGCACGAGATTTCCGAACAGAGCAGGCCTATAGAAAGTTTGGCCTAAAGGGTGGGGAAAACGCCGCTCAGCGTGGAGCAGACAGAGTTTCAGGGCCTCCCCGCCACTGTCCCCGCAGATGCACTTTCTGCCTGCTGCAGCAGGGCCGAGCCCTCTGTTTATCACGCCCTCCCTGCTCCGTGTAGACCAGTGGGCCCCTGGGATTCACCATCCCTAACAACATGCCCATGGAATATATTTTCCTAACGGAAAGGAAGCGTTCTCCCAGAGAACGTCTGTCGTGCTCCAGACTCAGAGTCCTCAGACTGCTGCTTCCTTTTTTTAAAGTAGCTTTTAAAGCTCTTTACACCGTTCTCTTGTTGCTTTTGTTTTTCATCTTGAAAAGCTTGTTAGACTTTGGCACGGTCTTCCTCAGACAGGAGTGAAGTATGTTCAACAAGTTCCTTCTTTTTGCCCTGCCCCCATGGTTTCAGGGAGGGGGTGAGAAGTAATAGTCAGAGAAGCAGCATTTCCCCAATTCAGGCTCCATCTCTGACCCTTGAACCCCAACCCGACTTAAAATCTGTCCCTTTTTTGTCTCCACAGTAACTGTAACTTTTCGCAGAGTGCCTCCCTGCCACCATACTTCTCTCAAGGTTTGTACTCTGGGCTCTAGTGACCTACTCTAGCCAATATGCTGTCATGAATGGATGTCCCAAAGCCTTTTGGCAAAAGTTCTGTTGTTTCCTAAAAGCATCTGACTTCCTCATTCAGTACTTCCTTATTCAGCACTTCAGTTTCTGAAGTGTACCAAAGGGTGCTGTAGTGAGAGGATACTCCACACAACAACAGCGCACACACACACACACACACACACACACTCACACACACACACACTCTTCCACAGGAAGGCGGCCATGGCCTTTATCTTCCCACACAGGACTTTTCTCCCCTGCTGTTTTTATCTGATGCTTAGGATAGTGCTATCTTTCTCTGTAGTTTTGACTTCTATAATGAATCTAACCTGTAGTGCTAGTTGAGGAAGATGTTTAAAATACAGATTAAGAGACCCCAGCCCCCAGGATTCTGATACAGTAAGTCTGGCTGAAGACCTCTATTTTTTAATAATACCTCCTTTGGGTGTCCATGATAAGTATTTCTTGAGAGAGTCCTCAAACTTTAAAATGCATGCAAATCACCTGGGAGCTATGTTAAAATGCATATTCTAATCAGTGGGTCTTGGTTGGGACCCAAGGTTCTGCATTTCTAGCAAGTTTCCATGTGATTCCCAAGTTCCAAGTTCCCAGCTGCTATTGCTGGCTCATGGACCACTTCAAATAGAAACAAAGGCCTACACGATAGGACTAGCTGTGTTTATTTTTTATCCTTGAAGACTTGCAAGTGACTAGCACATGGTAAGCACTTTAAAATGTTTGTTGAATGACTGTCAAATGACTATGGAGAGTCACCCAACTCTAGGAAACATTTTTTTTTCCTCATGCTAGGAAACACATCTTGTGTTACCAGATTTTCTGATTTCTTTTTCAAGAAAAAATAGAAATATGGCTTTTAATGTGAAAATTTTAAAGGTTGACTTAAGACTTAAAAATTCCGTGAGGAAAAAATAAAACACTTTTTTTTGTAGTCATGTACACATGGAGGAACACTAGTATGTGTTATAAACAGAAAACTAATAAGTTTAAATTTTAACTTAAGAGTAGACTCTTCAGGAGCATGTCTACTACATTTAGTTGGGTACACCATGCCATATATGTCTGAGATTCTACTGCTGATACCAATGAAACCCACTATATTTTCAGTGTTTCCTAAGCATTTTAGGACATAGTGTCTTTATTCACTACATGGTTTCCACAACCCCCCCACCCCCACCCGTCAGTGGCCACAACTCATTATTTTGTAAACCTACTTTGTGTTCCTTGCCTGGTCCGTCTAGGCATCTGAGTTTCAGACACTTCACTTACAGCAATATCTCCCAAAGTAAATTCCATAGACCCCTGCTTCTATGAGTTGGTGGTAGAGATTATTAATATAAATAGTTGGCTATTTATTATTATTTTTTAAATATAATCATCCCTCTAATACAGGAGGGGGATTGGTTCCAGGACGCCCACCGATATCAAAATCCAGGGATGTTCAAGTTCTTTGTATAAAATGATGTAGCGCAGTTGGCCGTCCACATCCACAGTTCCACGTTCACAGATTTGGCTAAGCCACTGGTTGAACCAATCTGTAGTTGGCTGAACTCACAGATGTGGAAGCCATGAATGCAGCGGGCTCACTCTACTACCTTAATCAACACTGATCCCTTTTCTTCTAAGAGTGCCAGGACACCTGGTCCTCAGTCTAACCCACTGGTTGCCCCAAGGTCAGGAAGATAAAGGATGTGCTTTATATTGGCTAAAAACCTGTCCCAGTTCCCTTGAGGATCTAGATATTAAGGGTGGAGGGTGACTGCAATGAAAAGTAATGTATTGTCTGTCATGAATAGTGACTCTGTGGTGCTGACCTGCAGATGCAGATAGAGAATAATTCCTCAATTCTAAGACAGCCATGCACTATAGACCTTCATTACATGACTTTCTCATATAGCTAGATTTCATTCACTCAACCAACATTAGAAAAGTGCCTGCATGTTGCATTGCAAAGGTGGGCATGGGGAAGGTCTGTTCAGGTACTGGGAGCCTTAAGAAGGAAGATCAACAGCTCAGGCTAGCCCCATCTGCATCTCGAATAATCCTGACTAGGAAGAGTTGGACTCTTCAAGAAACTCTCCCCTCTCAGGGACCCTGGGGCAGGTGGTTTACCCTTCTGTGGTGTATTGTAGATGAAGTAACAGACCTGGTGCAGAACCAACTGGAGTGCTTGTTAAATGCAGGGTCCCCTTGGAATTCTCTTTTTTGCACAGTCATATTTGGGAATCACAAGTTCAAGTCCTGGCCCTGCCACTAAGACTCATGATTTGTTAGACTCTTTGGACCTTTGTTTCATGATATTCAAAAAGAAGATAATACCCACCTTGTGGGGTTGCTGTGAGGATGAAAGGTCGTGTACACAGGTGCCTTAATCAGGGCCTGGACAGAGCAGTGCTGAAAAAATATCTGTTGAATGAACAAATGAATGATGCATGAATTATTAAGAGAACATTCAACTCATGGAATTTACCAGCCTGTAATAGCTGTTCTGGCATATAGAGACAAGCTTAGCAATTGCAAATCAACATAATCAAACCTTTCCTGAGATGGAAACACATTCTCTTGAAAAATTTCATGAAACTGTCAACAAGGAAAAAAAGCGTTAGAGAAGGTGAGGCACAAGTGCTGGGTAATGTACAGACTCCAACACAGACTTCCTGATGGATCAAATATTGTCAGGGCCTCCTTCTATGTGAGTCTAACAATTCTACTTCTGTAAGAAATTTGGTCAAGAACAGCAGGTAGTAAGCTCTGGCTCTGAAAGCGAAGAATATTCTCAAGGTAATTTCACCTTATCTTGGGTAAGTCACATTTCTTTTTGTGAAAATGAGAACATAATTACCTTCACCTCCACTTTGTTACCACTTGCTGTTATATATGTAACGTGCTCAATTAAGCAAACAATCAAATGTGCGGCGTAGTGTCTCAGGATTTCACTGGCATGGCTGCCGAATAGGGCCCGAGCAGCCCTTGTGGTTTTGAACAAGTGAAAGTTATTTTGGAAGCTATGGTTTCTTGAAATGTTAACTGCTGGGAACAACTACAAGGGCATTGTCAGGGAGGGGGGTGGGGTGCAGTGATGGGTTATGACTAGAGAAAAATTGCTTAAAGTAAATTAACGTTCAAAATGCTATACTTTCACAGGCTCTAGCAACAGACCACTTCCCAGAGTGGAAGGCAGGAACTTCTCGCCAGTTCCAAGCAAGCATCGATCACAATCCCCCGGGGAAGAAGAGGTAATAAGGCATATGTTCATATTTTATTTCTACCCCAGCAAATGAATCATCAGAATCTCCCACTGAATACTCTCCTATGCTTTTATTTTCTTTTAGTCTTTATTTTTTTTAGTGAAAAATATTGAGAGGAGAATTCAGTTGAAAAATACATTATTTTTCCTTGACGTTTCTCTTCCAATGGCAAATGTGTGTTTCACATTAAACAGTGAGAAAAATAATTCTATTTTTCATCTGTTTCTTAGTTTATGACATAGCACAAGTCATTTAACTGCTCATTAACCCAGTGTTTTTCATTAAATATATTATTATACTAAACTGAAGAAATTATTACATCTAAATCTTTCCTGATTAGAGACTCCATTATCTACAAATGCTTATTCACCTCTGCCTTGGGAATGAGTATATGATAAAAAGCAGTTCACACAAAATATCTTCTATTTAGCTCCACCTGAATGATTCTATATTCAAAGTTAATAACACAAGTGTTTCTCTGCTGGGTGCCATTCATGCTGTTATACCAAAGGGTACCAATTAGTGCCAGCTTCTCACCTAGTAATGTCCACAGCAATGACTCCTAGGACCCTGGGAAAAATTTAAATTAAGGTAGTCATTTGATTGGTGGAATCAAATGAATTTGATTTTATTAATGAAAACGGTCCATCTTTTCACAGGAACCACACAGCACCAAAAGGAAACTCTTTCCCCCAAATTTCCAACATCTTACTAGTTGTATCTTCCTCTTGACACCCAATCGCCATCCATATCAATGTGGAGGAACCCATATTGAGACAGACAACAGCAACTTTTTGTCCTTTTCCCTAGAAATTTCTAATTGTCATTTAATATTAAGGGTCTTGAACCAGATTTCCTGTCTTCCAGTACTGAACACTAATCTTAAACCTATATATCAAAGATGGGAAGGCAAAGATCCTTCATCTTTCACATTCTTCATATCTCGAGACTACAACAGAAGTCCTCAAGCCTCAAGCTTGGTCGCACTTTAATTTTTTTTAATGATATGAAGCGATTAATGTTCATCTCCCCATCTTTTATTAAAGTTATTTATTTTTGGCGGTGCTGGGCTTTGTTGCTCAGGCTGTCTCCAATTGCGGTGAGCGAGGGCTGCTCTTCACTGCGGCGTGCAGGCATCTCACTGCGCGGCTTCTCTCGCCGCGGATCACAGGCTCCAGGCACAGAGGCTCAGGAGTTGCCGCTCCCCAGCTCTAGAGCACAGGCCCAATAATTGTGGCACACGGGCTTGGTTGCTCTGAGGCATGTGCGATCTTCCCGGACCAGAGATTGAACCCGTTGGCAGGCAGATCCTTAACCACTGGACCACCAGTGGATTGCATATTGAAATCACTTGCGGAGCATTAAAAAAAAATTCTGATTTTACCTGGAGAGATTCTGACTTAATTAGTCAGGGATGCTATGTGGGCTCTGGAAGTCTTCAAAACTTGAAATTCCAAAGTGAAGCCAGAGCTGTGAATCCACAGGTATATTTATTTAACAGAGATGTTTTGACTAGAATTTACTCATTCAAGCTGGAATAAAAAAAGAACAAAGGAAAGCCATTATTGCAAATTGATCATCCTGATTTCGATACACAGAAGAAGGAGTAATTTAAAGGAGTTCTTCCTAATTCATTCTATTTTAATATTAGATCTTTATGGTATTATTATAATATTATGCAGCTAATTTATGAAATGAAATTTTAAAGTATAGGACAGATCACCACACTATTTTGGTAAACATCAAGAAAAAAGGATGATACACATTGGATTTTTTTCAGGTGTTTGAGGATGAAACGCAGTATCTGGGCACCATGAGGTTTTAAAATGGGTACATTTCTTAGGTATTTGGGTGTATTCTGACTTTTACCGTGGAAAGAAAGTGCATAGAATTAACTCTCAGGAGCAGGAAGAGATACCTTTAGTTGACCACTAAAGTCCTTATTTTGCTGGCTCTGTATCCACTCAGCCATCTATTATTTATTATTGTAAAAGAGATTCCTTTTTTCACTGAGAGACTTCAAAGAGGTCTTTTCGAAATTTAGGAATTTCTCCAATATAATCTCTGCTGCCTGTTTCTTGACAACCAAGAAATCCATGACACATGGGATTACCGCTGTTGGGGGAACTAACTGTTCACTAAATTGTCAAGTGGTGGGTTTCCAGATCTCTAGAGGACTGTCTGCTGCTCTTAGAGGCAACAGAATTTTTGACTTTTGCTACTTCCTGAATAACGAGAATTTCTGCTTTTAGGATGGCACTTTCCTGGTTAGAGACAGCTCTAAAAAAACCATCTCCAATCCATATGTTCTCATGGTGTTGTACAAAGATAAAGTTTACAACATCCAGATCCGTTATCAGGAGGAAAGCCAAGTTTACTTGTTGGGAACTGGACTCCGAGGGAAAGAGGTAAGGGTTTCAGGTTGTCACGCTTCCCCCAGTTTTCTGCGTGTGCCTCTCTGCACACTACCTGCCCGGAACCTGGCTGTGGCCTTCTTTTCGGGGCCGTACTGCCTGGCAACTTTAGAGTTCAGTTGCGTTAGTGAAACCCTGCATTTACTGGAAGGAAATAAAATGTTAATAGTGTCTACCTCTGCCACAGTGTCTTTTTTACATCTTTATTCCAACTAGTCTAAAATCACATGTGTAACTTTAAAAAATGTTTAACTTAAAAATATCATTAGATAGTGCCAAACACAAGTCCTTCTATGACTCAGAAGTGAGTTAAAGTCACCTCTGTGACATGATTTTGATGTAAGGGTACAGTGTACTTATAAGGCCGTGTCTTAAATGAACATTTGGAAAAATGACTTGGGTCATTTCTCCCTAAAAATGGAGGTTAGGCCAATGAAGCTGTGCAAATTGCCAAAAACATTTCCCTCTGTTTCCCCAAGGTGTATACTAGTCCCTTTGGGGGTAGTAATGAGAACTGTGTAAAGAAAACCTTTCAGGGTTGCTTTTTGCAAAGGAAACTATGGCTAAACCTAATGCTTCAAATGTGTTTTTTTAAGTTCAAAGTTCCAGGAGGAGGATAAGCTGTATCAAACATTTCCAGAAGGAAACACAACTTACCCATAACTTCTACTTCACTCCAAATATTTTTAAGTTATGATTATGTAAGCCAGTAGAAGACACACATGATTTTGGTCATATGTTTGAATCACTGCTTCGGGGTGGGTAGAGCTGCATAGGTCCCGTAGAGGCAGAGATGTCTGCTGTCCAGGATCTCTACTGGTCTTGTGTGGAAACACACAAATGCAAACCACTCATTGCCGTTGCCCTGGAGGGAGGCACCTAGAAGAGTAGTCTTGGAGGAAGTGTGCAACTCTGTCTGGGGTACCTCGGGAACATCTGACTCATTTCTAAATGTACGGATGGGGGTTTCTCAGTTTGGCCCTCAGGGAAAGGGTGATACAGGTGATGAGTGAAAGGACTCGCTACAGAGCTCCTGTGAGTGTGGAGGTGGCAGCGGGGACACAGCAGATATCATGAAGGAACGACTCTGCCACACTACAGATATCATCTTCAGACAACAGAGATGCTGTCTGACCTCCTGATTCCTATATCTCCTAACATTGTTAGTGATTTAAAAGAGGGCACAAAACCCAAAACCAAGTCACAAATAGAACAATCCTCCTGAGATCCAATGATTGGTGTCCTTAGAAAAAGAGGGAGATATGGAGAAGGAAATGGCAACCCACTCCAGTACTCTTGCCTGGAAAATCCCATGGACCGAGGAGCCTAGTAGGCTACAGTCCATGGGGTCGCAAAGAGTCGGACACGACTGAGCAACTTCACTTCACTTCATGGCAAAATGTCTTGTGTGAAACATGTTTATCTTAATTTCCATGAAACAACATTCTGCAGTCTAGTAAAACTTTTATCTACTGTACATAGAAAAAAAAAAGAAAAAGAGGGAGATAAATGATGAGGCCCCATATTCAATAGCCTATGATAAATCATAATGGAAAACAATATGAAAAAGAATATATATATATCTTAATCACTTTGCTGTACATCAGAAACTAACACATTATAAGTCAACTATATTTGAATAAAAAATAAGAACAATCCTAAGGTAAAGCTATCATAATTAGACTCTCCCTCTATCTCTCTCCGTATATAATATATATAACCCCCTACATGAAGTTAAAAATACATATACATAAATACATACTATGTCTTTTATCCATAGTTTGCTGAATGTTGGTGAGGAATTTTTTTCAAAGTTCCATAGCAGAAATCAAAATCTTTGCCAAATTTTACATAGACTGATAATCCTCATAGTATAAGAGGTAGGACATTATGCAGATTAAAAAAAAAAAAACCTGCAAAATTCATACTACATTCCAGTGCTGATTTTCTTCCTATGTTGACTCTTTCAGGACTTTCTGTCTGTGTCAGATATTATCGACTACTTCAGAAAAATGCCGCTTCTGCTTATTGATGGAAAGAACCGAGGTTCCAGATACCAGTGCACGTTAACGTATTCTGCAGGTTATCCCTAGCAAGTTAGCCAAGCAAATGAACCTTCCTCCTGCCTCTGTCCCACCATGGGAAGATCAGTCAACCTGGGTGAGCGGCCAAACCCTTAGGACTGAATTGAACCCCTTCAACATGAACAGAAGTGTTTTGTCCTTTTACTTATGAAAGTGTTTGAAATGAAGACTGTCAAATATCCCATAATTTATTTATTTTTCTTCAATGTTTGTAAAGTGCATGAGTAATAATGTTCACACTTGAAGTCTAACAGTGCACTGTAATGATTCATTTAAAAAACATGTGTATCTTTGAATACCCATGTCCAAGTACATTAGTTTGCACACCTATAGAAACGATTTGGGGCAAATTTAGAAACACTGAAATGGTAACAGATTTTGATAACACATGAAACTGATTTTTTAACTAGCCAATCCTTTGTCAGTCAAAGGCAATCATCAATTTTATATGTATAATTTGAAAATTACTAAAATTCAGTTTCTTGGCAGCAATAATTTAAGAAGCTTCAAAAGCATTTCATCCTTTCTTATTTCATGTTTTTGCTGGAGGGTGGGGATTTTTTGTATACTTTTTTTATGAAAAAGATAAATGCATGTTGGAATAACTTCCTAGAATTAAAATTAATTTGCCTTCTGCTTCACTTTTTGCTTCCTAAAAGAACTTATTGACTTTATTTAATTATTTAGCTATTATTTTCCTGTTTTAAAGCAAATTTAAGCTACAAATACCAAAAGAAAACATTTTAAATTTAGAATGAGACTTTGGCATCAAATACATCGGATTTAATTTCATCACATCTGACATCCTCATCCTATCTCTTCCACCTCTACCCAACTCCAAAAGTATCAAGTGATGTGATTTTTATCAACGTCTTCCTGGGAAGATGAAATAGCAATTTCTGTATACATGGAAAAGTTTAATAAGACTTTCCAATTAGATACCTTTCTTCTGTGTTTATCCCCCCTGCCATCTGTCATAAAGCCATTATCTTCACCCTTCCCCAAAAGGCTTTATAAATTCTTCAAAGCAATTCAATTCTTTTCTTCAATTTACATATCTCATTTAATAAAAAATAGTAAGCAATTTTACAAGAGGAAAACTTCACATTCACTTAAGTTTTCCCTTTTGCGGCTTTGGTTGTTATTCCACAACTTGTATTAATAACAAAATTTTTTGTCTTCTTGGTTTTATCTATGATTTTTATAAGCCACAAATAATATCTTGTATTTTAATTTTCATGAGCTTGTAGAAAGACCACTGGAAGAGATATTGGAAGTCATCTAGTTAAAAGTGATGATTTGCCAAGATAACGAATCTGTGGACTTTTAATCAATGATGATAGACAAGATGCTTCACAAAACTTCATCCTTTAGAAATTCTCAAATCAGGACCTAGAACTCAGGAATTCTAAAACTGAAAAACCTGCATCATTTACGTGTTTATTAAATAGGATATTCAATAAGCATTTATTTCATGTTTATTCTGTGCACTGAGCTGGGTGCTGGGTATTGAGCATAGAAAACTCGACGGGTTCTGGTACGGAGTGAGCTGACCTTGTGCCTTGCTTCATGGTATTCTATACTTAATGTTCAAAAATTTCTAAAATGAAGAACAGTAGGTTTCAAAGCAACTATCTGGTAGTGAATAATGTTTACAAGGTACACAAATGCTTATTATTTTAAGTTGCTGTTGGTGGAGAGGGGTGGAAAACCTATTCCGCTGCAGTAACTGAAATGAGCTGGAGTATCTGGTGTTTTTATGCCTAGCAGTCTTCCTCCCTTCTTCAGGCCATGGCCACTCTATTCTTTTGGTGAGGCCTTTCTTTCTCTAGAGGGTTTCCCAGGTGGCTCAGTGGTAAAGAATCTACCAATGCAGGAGACGCAGGTTCGATCCCTGGGTTGGGAAGAGCCCCTGGAGGAGAAAATGGCAACTCACTTCAGTATTCTTGCCTGAGAAATCCCATGGACAGAGAAGCCTGGTGAGCTACAGTCCATGGGGGTCGCAAAGAGTTGGACACAGCTGAGTGACTGAACAGGATGCCTGCTCCTTTTCCACTGACCTGGCATAAATCCCAGCCTCACCAAACATAGTTGCTTAGAACCCATCTTAATTGAAGCTGGCCTAGTCAAGACCCTTCTCTGGATTGTTAAACACAGAGGCTAAGACAGAGGATCTCTCTTTCCTCTGGGGTCTCCAAAAGATAATGCTGTAGACCCACCATACCTCTACTCTCCTCTACCTGTTACATGGAAGTGATGAGTTTAATAGGAAAGGATGTAGACCAGTGCACAGAAACAGAACCAGGGCAGAGATATCTGATGAATTAGTGAAGGCCCTGAACTCTATCCCAGCCATGAACTTTCAAGGCACATGACCTAATAAATGATTCAGCTAGTTTGAGTTGTTTCTGACACTTGCTACCAGGAGACACCTGATTAAATAAATCTATACCATACATTTATAATTTAGTAACTCTCTTTCAACCTAAGCCAAATTCAAGCATAGAGGATGGGATGAGCAGCACTCCATGACCAACTTCCTATGTAATACTCTTGCTATTGGTGAAATAAATTAGCCATTTCTTGGAACATTAAAACAAGAGAAGCCTACCAAAGCATGAAATGATTATTTACAATTCAACACATTTTTTATTTTTTTAATTGAATATATTAGTAAACTCAATTCTCCTATAAATGGGTTAATTCAACAATAAAAAGTCACAAATTTACAACAAATAAATAAAAAATCAGATTAAAAAGCTATCAGAAGCAAGGGATACATCTGGCATTTTAGACTCTTCAAAGTGGGGGCTGTTTCCCTCTGTTTCTTTTAAGTCATCTGTCTTCATGGGATGACTGAAATGTAGGGTAAGGTCACAAAGCAGTAACTGGGAGAGTTCTATGTAAAAAAAAGAAAATTAATAATGTAAGACACTATATTGTAGCACAGATGTCACAGGCAACTATTATTACTTTAAGTTGCTATTTCCTAATTTTTAATTTAGTTTTTTAAGTGATTATTGCTTAAACCACAATTTAGATGTGCCAAATTTTGACTTGAGTCAAATTTATACACTGCAAAATAAACATGATATAGAAGCTTACTAGAAGGGTTCTTTAGCTCAAATTGTCAGCTGTTTTACTACACTGCAATTTGATTTATGCAAGTTTGTGTATTTTTTAAAATTACTAGTTTTATCTGCTATATATACATACAGTATAAAGAACCAAATAAAGCATGTTACAAAAAATAGCAGCTCCTATCTCCCAGAGGTAACCACTTGTGACATTTTTGGAGCTCATTTTGTTTTTGTGGGTTTTTGTGTGTATGTGTGTGTGTGTGTGTGTGTGCATGTGTGTGTTACATTTTTGTTTATTTTGGCAGGGGTGGTATTTAACCTCCATATCTCTAAATGATATTTATATTTTTTTCTCAATTTTAGGTATTTGCTTCTGACCACAGAAGATTAAAATATAGCTCTTTTCATTTATCCTCATTCCCCCAATATACTTGAGTATAATTTTTCTTAGCTCAGTATTTAATGTTTAATTTTTTTGATTATATATTCTTTACAGTTGAGTCTTGTAGGACATTTCCCTTCCTGCAAGCTTCCACCCAACCACAGTTAATAATTGTTTCCTTTTTTCATTGCTTAATTACCATGGATATATTCCAAATTTCCGCAGTTGGGTAAATCTCCTCCCTGTATAGTCGAGAGCTTTTACTGTTCTATAGTTGAGGGTCTCTCCTCTCCTAGAGCCTTCTCATCAGCTCTAGTTTGGACTGACAGCTCTCTAGAAAGCTGTACAGTTCATATCTTAGGAATTCCCTTCACCACTATCCAATGGACTCCTTTCACCCCTCCCTTGTGTGGAGTATCTTTCTTCCAGAATCTCATGTCTCTTGCTCTCTCTCTCTCTTTTTGGTCTATTCCTTTGGTGGAATACAACCAAGGTAACTTTCTAAGGTAGGGAAATGTATATGTCTTAGAGTCTCTCTCTCTACACCAATGCTTAATAGATTGACTGGCTGTAACAATCCAGGCTGGACATCACGTCTCTTCAGATTTCCAAAGGCAGTGCTGCACTTTCTCTTAGCTGCCAGCGTTTCAATGGGCAAATTTCATACAATTCTAATTCTTAGTCATTGTTTCTCTTTAAAAGATTTAAGAGAAAAAAAAAGATTTAAGAATCATTTTGTTCTTCCAGTGTTCTGAAATTTTGTAGTATTGCATTTTAGTAGAAGACTATTTTCATCTACTGTGCTGGGCTCTTTCACTGTAAAAAAAAATACCCTTCAGCTCTGGAAAATTTTCTCGGATTATTTATTTAATGAATTCCTCCTCATTCATTGTCTGTGTTCTTTCTTTCTAACACTTTACTTATAGGATGTTAGACTTCCTTGTCCATCTGTTTTTTTTGCTCTGCACTCAAGGGAATTTTCTTCATTTAATCTTTCAACCCTTCTCTAGAGTTTATTTCTCTTGTAACACTTAATTTTGTTCTCCAAATATTTTTATAGTATCCTATTCCTTTTTCATAAATGTAGCATCTTCTATTACTTCTCTGTGGATATTAACGACAGTTTCTTAGAGTTTTTAGTTTTCATTTGTAATCTTTTTCTCCTCACTGATTGAATCTACTTATTGGTTCCGTCTCTGCTTTTCATATTAGATGGTTTCCTCAAACATCTTTTTTTCCCATAGTTGTCTGCTCATATTTAAGATTATCATACTAAAAAGACATCTAGAATTTCTTTCCCATGGCAATTATTGTGTGGTGATCTGGCTGGGTGTTTTGTTGAGGATAAACAAAAAACCTGATAAACCTAAAAACTTAGGTCTTTTCTCTTAGGCTTATCAGATTCCTGAAATGACAATCTGCCTGAGTGTATAAATCTGGTCGCCAATGTTTTGTAGCCAAGTGGGGAAAGAAAGCTATGGGTTTTTTAAGTCAGTATGCAAACTTTGTCTTAAGACCCTTGTTTTTAGTACTACTATTTCCTTCAACTTGTGAGACTTTAAGTCCCAGATCTACCAGTTGTGTAACTCTGGGAAAGTTAGTTAATCCCTTTATATCTGTTTCTATATCTGGAAATGTCAATGGTAATATTTCCAACCTCATAAGGTTGTTACAGCAATTCAGTCCATTTATGTAGAGCTCTTGGAAAAGTATCTGAATTATGGTAAATGCTGTAAGTGTTAGCTATTGACGTTAATACTTCTGGGAGAAAGTGAGTGCAATGGAGTGTTTATTTAATCTTCCATGTTTACCAGAAGTCTACCTTCCTAGTCTGGCTTTATTAATCCTTTGTATCTTCACTGCCTGCCTATCCCACAACTTTTCAGGAAAACATTGATCATATTTATTCTATTGCACTTCATGAAAGAATAATTGCCAAACTAGAACAGTCAATCTAGTTTGAGAAGAATCTAAAGCTTCTCTAATTGTTTTAAATGAGTGCAAGCGTCCAGAATCAATTATTCACTTAATAAATGTTGGTCAAAAGCCTATTATATAAAGGCACTGGGTTAAGAGCTAGGAATAACCTTAAGGGATGGGATAAGTAAGCAAACATACAATTACAATATAGTATGATAGGTGATATGACAAAGTAGAAGAAATGACATACTGGCTTAAAAAACATTTTCGAATGTTAGTAACTGTGACTAATAAGTAGCAGTTAACCTGGTGAGGAGGAGGTGGGGAGGCAACCTGTGGAAGTGGAGTGGGCACTTCAGGAAAATATGCGTGTAATAATTAAGGCACAGCCACAAAAAAAGAGCAAATGTGTAGATATGCAGGTAGTTCAATGTGGTTGGAGCCTGGGATGTGCAGGGAATGAAGAATAAGGTAGCAGAAAGGAGAGGTAGGCAGGGTCTGATCTCAAGGTCTTATAGGACCTCCATTCTAGGAGGTCTGGACTTAGTCCTGAGGACAATGATGAGCCAATGAGCATTTTCAGCATATTTATATTTCAGAGGATAACCCTTGCTGTTGAGATTGCTTTTGAGAGAGATGAATTAAGCAAAGGTAACCTTATTGCTTTACATCAGACTCCTCACAGCCTCTGTTAATATGTACTGTGAATTTGTGACAGAATTACCTAGCATAAAGCCCTTCCCAAAATTATTTGATCATCAGTTCACTGATTCCATTTATAACATCTATTAACATCACCTGAGACAGCAGTGTTCCCAGATCAAAGTCCATGAAGTGCTTGGGAAATGCTTCAGTCAGTTCAGTTGCTCAGTCATGTCCGACTCTTTGCGGCCCCATGGACTGCAGCATGTCAGGCTTCCCTGTCCATCACCAACTCCCGGAATTTACTCAAACACATGTCCATTGAGTCGGTGATGCCATCCAACCATCTCATCCTCTGTCATCCCCTTCTCCTCCCACCTTCAATCTTTCCCAGCATCAGGGTCTTTTCAAATGAGTCAGTTCTTTGCGTCAGGTGGCCAAAGTATTGGAGTTTCAGCTTCAGCATCAGTCTTTCCAATGAATATTCAGTCCATCCTTTAGGATGGACTGGTTGGATCTCCTTGTTGTCCAAGGGACTCTCAAGAGTCTTCTCCAACACCACAGTTCAAAAGTGTCAGTTCTTCAGTGCTCAGCTTTCTTTACAGTCTAACTCTCACATCCATACATGACTACTGGAAAAACCATAGCTTTGACTAGATGGACCTTTGTTGGCAAAGTAATGTCTCTGCTTTTTAATATGCTGTCTAGATTGGTCATAACTTTTCTTCCAAGGAGCAAGCATCTTTTAATTTCATGGCTGTAGTCACCATCTGCATTCTGGCGCCCCCAAAGTAAAGTCTGTAACCGTTTCTATTGTTTCCCCATCTATTTTCCATGAAGTGATGGGGCTAGATGCCATAATCTTAATTTTCTGAATGTTGAGTTTTAAGCAAACTTTTTCACTCTCCTCTTTTACTTTCATCAAGAGCATCTTTAGTTTTCTTTGCTTTCTGCCATAAATGTGGGAAATGTTTAGGAGAATACATGGAAAAACCTAACAGGGACTCCCTACTTGGATTTTCATGGTTAGAAAAATGACCAGTGGGTGAAAGGATAGGGAAAAGATTTCAGCTAGTCCATGATGAAAAACTGTCTAATATAGAATAGACTGGTAACAGAGAGAGTTTTCCAACACAGAGTTTTTTCCAACACAGGAAATGGTTGGTCAAGAATAGATGAAGTATTCAATCACAAAAATTCTACATGCCTGGAATAAAATTACAGAATATGTCTGTAAGGTGAGTGACTAAATATCATGATCTATAAGGTCTAATCCTACTAGAATCATCAATTCACACAATCAAGCAAACTTACAAGTTTTGACTTAGAAGGAACTTTAGAGACTTAGTAATGATTAATGGATAAAGATAACTGAATTTTGCAGACTGTGACATCACTCTGTAATAGTTTGTTGAAGGGAAGGATGGGGAATAAATTTAGAGGGGTTAGTTAGACATCATAAGGTTTCTATAAGGAGGAAAACAGGACCACTGAGGATGAGATGGTTGGATGGCATCACCGACTCCATGGACATGAGTTTGAGCAAGCTCCAGGAGTTGGTGATGGACAGGGAAGGCTGGCATGCTGCAGTCCATGAAGTCGCAAAGAGTCGGATACGACTGAGTGACTGAACTGAAGCTTTTTATAAAATGTCGGGGATGAAAATTCAAGTCTGCTATCTTTCAGGTCAATGCTCAAACGTAATGCATCTTCAGAGATCTAGTTCATATTACATTGTAAACATTGCTTAAGAAATAGAGAAATCCTAATGAACAGGCTTCAGCAATATGTGAACTGTGAACTTCCAGATGTTCAAGCTGGTTTTAGAAAAGGCAGAGGAACCAGAGATCAAATTGCCAACATCCACTGGATCATCGAAAAAGCAAGAGAGTTCCAGAAAAAACATCTATTTCTGCTTTATTGACTATGCCAAAGCCTTTGACTGTGTGGATCACAATAAACTGGAAAATTCTGAAAGAAATGGGCATACCAGACCACCTGACCTGCCTCCTGAGAAACCTGTATGCAGGTCAGGAAGCAACAGTTAGAACTGGACATGGAACAACAGACCGGTTCCAAANCTGATGCGAATAACAGACTCATTTGAAGAGACCCTGATGCTGGGAAAGACTGAGGGCAGGAGGAAAAGGGGACAACAGAGGATGAGATGGTTGGATGGCATCACCGACTTGATGGACATGGGTTTGGGTGGACACCAGGAGTTGGTAATGGACAGGGAGGGCTGACATGCTGCAGTTCATGGGGTCGCAGAGTTGGACACAGCTGAGCAGCTGAACTGAACTGAATGAATAGGCAAAATTTAGTTACATCCCACCAGAAGCACAAATTGACTACTCTTTATAACAATGACCTGCAAACAGTTTAATTCAGTGATTCCTACTTACCATTCATTTTTTTTAGCTCCAAAGAAATTGTGTTAATATTTTTAATTATGGCTTCCACATTTAGTTTATGGTCGGTAACATTATTCTTAATCATCTGGTTTGAAAAGAGAAACAATGTATAAATCAGAAGTGTGTATGTATACTTTAAAAATACTCAAATTTTCAGCATTTCTGGAAGAAGAAAATCTGTTATTTAAGAACTAAAATTTTAGTGAAATTATAGTTTCTTTAAATGGTTAGAATTCTCACACAGGAAGTCATCAACTTGGTACTATTTTTCCAACTGAAAACACCTCTAACCAGAATTCTTAGGATGAGGCTGCTTCTTTAATCAAACCATATCCATACAATGGAGCCCTTACAATGGAAATGCAGATGTCTCCATTTCAGAAATCCTCAGCACTTACAAAATTACCTTGTGCCTGGGTGCTCAGTTGCTTCAGTCCTTTCCAATCTTTGCGATTCTACATACTGTATCCCACCAGGCTCCTCTGTCCATCAGATTTTCCAGGTAAGGATACTGGAGTGGGTTGCCATGCCCTCCAGAGATCCAACCTGGGTCTCCTGCATTGCAGGAGGATTCTTTACTGCTAAAACACTGGGGAAGCCCACAAACTTCCTTACAATTTAGCAATCTCATATTATCTTCTCTAATTTTATTTATATAAGCATCATTTTCTAACTTATGCTTGAATGACAGGATCCAAATATGATTTATTTAAGTACATATTAGAGCATAAAATAAGACACAATTATAATTCCTTGACTAAGAAGATGGCAACATGGACACTTCTACTTTAGCTTTGGGAGTTAGGGCAATGCATATTTTAATTCAGCTGAGATACATTAATCAACCGATTACTCTGTTATATGTACAAAACATATGTTTAGTCAATTGTGTCAGATATAAACATATGGAGATGTTTCTAGGTCATTCACTAGAAACTAACCTTAGTCATTCAAATATCTCAAAATAGCTTGAATAAACCACAATTAGTGCACACAACTTCAGAAATACAGAATATGGGAAGTTATGCCTTATGCTGCTTGTCCAAAAAAATGAGAACAAACTAACCTTGGAATCAATTCTTTGCGCCTGCCTTTTCCTGAGTCAAGGGAATTTATCCTATTTCACTCACTTCAGAGCCACTGTAAAAGAAATAAATTGTTTGCTCTCCAGACAATGAATAAAATACACTTTGCATCCACCTACAAGCCCCTAGGTACTCAAAGTCGAATGACAGCTATCTTACTTGGGTATAGCAAAGTCAGATATACAGGTCTGAGGAGAAAGTAAAGATGATAAAAAGCAAAGGAGGTGGGGTGGGGATGGCACAGATCAAGAAACTTAAAGAAATGAACACAAAAATATAAGTAAAAACCCTGAGGTAAGTAGAAACTAAATGGAAGGAGAAATGCCCAAGAAAGTTGACCCTCCCCACTCTGGGTTCCATTTATCCAGGACCCTTAGGTGCCCACAGGTAGGTGGGGTCAAAGGGCAGCATGGTAAGGAGACCCCTTTGGACTAGATCGAGGCCAGAGCTGGTCAACCCTTCCCCAGGAAGCTCCGTCAGGCCATCACTCTTGAGACTGGAGAGGCCGGCCAAGCGGCGCTTCTCGAGGAGCTGGGAAGTGGAGGCCAGGATCGGGGCCCAATAGCACTGGAGCCCTCCATATCACAGATTGAAGGCATGAATGCAACTAAGGTACTATCCTGGGACCAAAGGCCAGGAGGCCAGGCCGTCCCGGTAAAGGGGGATCATTATTCCCTTCTCCTTCTAAAAGCCACCCCCTCCTTCTCAGTCTGACTCCCGGGAGGAGCCTCAGGTCTGGGGCCACAGTCTAGGGTCTGAAGATGGCACCTGCGGCAGCCTTTAAGATTCCGCAGCCCTCAGGCTTCCAAGCCAGATCGGAACAAAGCGAAACAGACTCAGCGTGGCCACCGGACGTACCCGGACCCTCCCAGCCAACCATCCCTTCTTGACTCAACACACGACCGTGCCTGTGAGGAAAGCGGGCTCTTGGGAGCCACGGGCTGAGAGACCTTGCGAAGTGCACTGGGGCCAGGTTGAAGATGCAACTTGAGGCAGCCTGGACAGGTCTTCACTTACACCACACAGGCCAAAGATGGATTAGGATTATTTAAAACCCAGTAACCCAGGCCAGCCCACAACCGGAACCCTGTGGGGACGCACCAATTTCTCGCTGTTAAGCGGGAAGAGCGTGAGCTGGGCCGAGGAAGTGAGACTGGGCTTTCTGATTGGTCAGTGTCCGCTCCTGGTGCATCCTGGGAGTTGTAGTCCCAGGCTAGGCCCCTGCAGAGAAAGTTCTGGCTGTGTGGCAGGAAGTGACTAGCACTACTGCGTGGGCAGAGGAGGACAGTGAGAAGGCATTTTGCCGACTGTGTGCCACGCGCTGGGCTAGGTGCTTTACAGCTCTTGTTTGCCTTTAATTTTCCCAGAATAGGAGTGTGGTTAAGGTCAGACTCTGGACTGAAACTTCTTGGGTTTAAATTCTGCTCCAGCACTGGTTTAGCTGTAGATGTCCTCAGCTATCATATGAAGATAATAATAACTACTGTCCATCTTCTTTTGAGAGTTAAGTGAGATAATGCATCACATTGGGCTTGGCAGATGATGTGCTCCATAAATGTTAGCTATTATCACACCCATAGATCTGTACAGATGAGTTGAGAGGTGTACGCTGGTCTCTTGCCAAGTAGAGAAGTTGGGATTCAAGCCATCTCTGCTGGATTCCAAGAGGAATTTTTGTCACCACTGCCTTTGAATTGACTCAGAGATTTTTCTTGGTGCCCTCAGGAATTGCCTTAGACTTGATGAACTTCAGATTCAGATTGTACACAAGTCCACCTTCTCTTAATCTTCCTTATTTGCACTTACTAGCCTCTCGAACCAGTGGGTTCCCAACAACTTGCAACACATAGTCTGTTTTTATTTTATATCCAACCTGGTGACTCAGATGGTAAACCATCTGCCTGCAATGCAGGAGACCTGGATTTGATTCCTGGGTCAGGCAGATCCCCTGCAGAAGACAGTGGCTACCTATTCCAGTATTCTTGCCTGGAGAATTCCATTGATAGAGGAACCTGGTAGGCTACAGTCCTTGGGGGTCACAAAGAATAGGACAGGACTGTGCAAAGAACACTTTAGTTTTTCACCACCTTCCTTTTAACACTAGAATTTGTTGTCTGGTGCAGAGTTAGATGAGGAAGGGCATAGAAGGACTGAGCTTCTGAGCTTCAGTCCTAAGGACAGGTAGCTATGCGATCTTGGAAAACAGTAACTTCTTTTCTCTGAATCTCAATTTCCTCATCTGTTTCCTTGTGAGAGAGATGGGCCCAATCAGTATTTTCTAAATATCACTCCTTATTGGGCTGCTGTTAACGATTGCTTGCCATAGATGTGTAACACCTGTTTTATTACTTTAATATTTTAAATTTACTTTCATTGACGTTTAAATCTACTTAATTTTTTTTTAACATCACAGAGTTTAGCATGATAATTTAGTATGGAGTAAAAGTTAAGCAGAGGAAATAGGAAAAATGAAGACCATGTAAATAAAACAATCATCTAGATATTTTACTTCTTGATGACCCTAATCCTGAAGCCTGATCTCTTTGTTAAAATGCGTTAATATTAGAGAAATGTTAAAGTTAGTCTAGTACAAACTGAGACTTTCTTCTTGATGTAGTCAGAAGAACTGAAAGAGTTGGATGGGGAATAACTCTAACTGTGATTACACATTGTTTAATCCCTCTGTACCGTATAAAACAGCTGTCAGATCCTTAGTAGTATATGTCCCACACATTGCTGAACATAATATTAGCTGCTGTCCAACATACCATCCATCCCTGAAGACTTCTTCATTCTGTGGAATCTAAAATAAGAAAGCAAACAAATGTATGTAACAAGATAGAAACAGACTCACAGATACAGAGAACAAACTAGTGGTTACCAGTGGGAAGAGGAAGAAGTGTGGGGCAAAATAAGGGTATGGGATTAAGAGATACAGACTACTGTTCATAAAATAAATAAGAGACAAGAACACAGCACAGAGAAATATAGCCATTACTTTGATAATTTTAAGTGGAGTACAACCTGTAACAATACTGAATCCTATGTTGTACATCTGAAACTAATATTGTAAATCAATTACACTTCAACTATATTAAAAAAAAAAAAAAA